ATGTTATGGTCAGTGACTACTTCTTCCTTTCATAACTTTGCTGCTGTGAATTGGGAATTTCTCCATTGCGAGACTAATAAAGGTTTTCTTATCTTATCTTATCTTATGTTTGTTTTGGTTTGGTGTACTTAGGACATGAGGAACTGGGTTGATGGACGGTTTGATTGGGCTCCGTCTGGTTCGTGTACCCAGCATGTGTTTTGCATCTTCGTAGGGGTTCTTTGAGGATGAAGACGGGAAGGAATATATCTACAAAGAACCCAAGTTCACCCCGTTGTCGGAGATCTCTCAGAGGCTCCTCAAGTTGTACTCTGACAAGTTTGGCCAAGAGAATGTGAAGATGATTCAGGACTCTGGAAAGGTATTTAATAGTATTCGCGTATGGTCCTTGTCCTAATATCTGCGATTGGAAAATTACTTAGAGGTCCAACCAGTAAAACTCTGGACAGCAACCTCACACTTTCATTCCAACCTACGGGCACTTTAGAGTCTTCATTGAATCTATTATGCTGATTTTTAGAATGTGGGAGTACAGTAGCAAGAGAAAATTCATGTAAATATGAGGGGGAATACGGAGGTTCTGTACAGAAAGAAAAACATTTTAAACCCAGAATGTTTGGAATGTGAGGCAGATATTTTAGCCAAATGCTTCACCTTGACATCTGTCGTTCAAACACGTCAGTGAGTTGCCCACTGACGTTATTTACATTTTTACGAAAAACAGGAGTATATTTTATTCTATATTATACCGCATTTTGGGGAGAGTACTACTCGTGCTACATGGGCTCTGTCTCATGAAAGTACAGTTCAACTGTATTTGACATTCTACGTTCAGAAAAATGTATTCAAAAACAGTTTGGCAATTGTGAGTGACGGAAAGCTGTCAAAAAGTCACCAGTGACGGAAAGCTGTCAAAAAGTCACCAGTGACAAGTGTTGTCTTGTGCAGATCAACCCCAAAGACCTGTATTCCAAGTATGCGTACATCCAAGTGACGCACGTGACACCTGACTTGGAGGACAAGGAACTGGCAGACAGGAAGACGGATTTCGAAAAAAGCCACAACATCCGCCGCTTTGTGTTTGAGATGCCTTTCACTGTGTCGGGCAAAAAGCAAGGCGGGGTAGAGGAGCAGTGCAAACGCAGAACCATTCTAACCAGTAGGTGACCCTTGACCCCCAAGTACTCTTCGGCTTGTCTGTTCCATTACTCACTGTGAGCTTCCTTCACTACAATCCACTGTTGTCACATGTCGTTCGCACATGCGTGAAAGATCTTGATTAGATCCTGAACGTGTCAGCTCGTTTCTCCCCAAGGACTTTTCCGAAACCGCAATCACACTTGTATATTGCTTTATGGCATCACAAATCCAAAAGTTCAAGCGCAGATTCTTATCTTTACTGTCTGTCATTGTTGGGAAGTCTGTTCACCTGCCACCTCTCCCGTTCTGTCGCCACCCGCAGCCACGCACCGTTTCCCCTACGTGAAGAAACGGATCCCCGTGATGTACCAGCAACACAAAGACCTCAGCCCCATCGAGGTGGCCATCGACGAGATGAACAAGAAGGTGGCTGAGATAAATCAGCTGTGCTCCTCCAGCGAGGTGGACATGATCCGGCTGCAGCTGAAACTGCAGGGAAGCATCAGCGTCCAGGTCAGGACATCAAGCACTCGGGGGGGGGGCCTCCGCCAAGGTTTAAAAAAAATTGCCACTAGTGTCTAAAATGGGATTTTCCATGTTGAGGTGGAAAAGGTTAAGGTTGCCAAAAATCGGAGGGCAATAGTTTCACAGTAGGGAAGGCATGGCGGCTTCATTTGTACAGTGCATTTCTTACACAAGATAACTCAATGTGCTTCACAAAATCAAAACCACAACATTTACAAAATTGTAAAAACAAAATAATTGTGCTTCACGATACTCTCTACATGGGCCAAGATGATATGATTGTTTTCAATTTAGTCATTTATTTCTCCTATTTTTAAATACCCAACCCTACATTTTCTGTAACGCTTATCTTCAGGGTCACTGGTGAGCTGGAGCCAAGATGACGCACGCACACAAGCAAATTAACTAGAAGTTGCTTTCATTACATTATAAATATCGTCTTTATGCAGGTGAATGCCGGACCGCTGGCGTACGCTCGTGCTTTTCTGGACGACGCAAGTGCCAAGAAGTATCCGGATAACAAGGTCAAACAGCTGAAAGAAGTCTTCAGGTGATATTTCACCCGACAGATGTTAACTTTGATCTTCGTCACGCTCCTTTAATGCATCCCCGACTCCTGTCGCCTTGGCACGCAGGCATTTCGTTGAGGCGTGCGGCCACGGCCTGGGGATCAATGAGCGACTCATTAAAGAAGACCAGCAGGAGTATCACGACGAGATGAAGGCCAACTACAGAGATCTAGCCAGAGAGCTGTCCGTCATCATGCACGAGCAAGTGAGTGCAAATGGTTTTCAAAGTCCCTACAAAATAAGATGGAATGTAACCTAACACGCATGTTGATAACGCTATTTTCTGTTTTCTCTTGGTGCTGACATGAGCAGATTGGATGGTAATGATATTATCCTAAATGTTGTTGTTGATTGGTCCAACCAGATGAATGCATGTGTGTGTGCTCTAACATAAACCTGAGCAACAAAGCAACGAATCTCAAAGGTTTCGGGGTATTCAGAGTTCCGTGAAATTTCTGGATTAACCGAAAAAGTACGAGAACTTTTAAAGGCTTAAACCTAATTTGAACCTTTATGAACTTTTGAATGCGCATTCCGTATGCTTTATGAATTTTGGTTATAGTACATTTCAATGAGTGACAATTCTGCTCAAATGAATTCAATGATCATAACACAGCTCATTCTTTAGCCCCGATAGCAAAATTATCTCTTCTCACACACGCACACACACACACACACACACACGCACACACACGCACACACACACACTTATCTTGCCTTGGCTGCAATAAATAAAATCAGTTGTCCCGCTCACATGTTCCACCCCTCTTTCTCGATGAATGTCACAGCTGGCTTGATGCGTATCGTTTGGTTTTTGTTTTTTTGAGTGTGTATGCATACCCGCATGTTTGTCTGTGCATAGTTTTTTTTCATCTGTGTGTTTATACAGGTTGAAGGATGTGGGAAAATGTCAGTATCGTCATGTGCACTCATGTGCCGCTATATACAGTAGTGGAACCTTTTAAAATTGAATCCAATCCAATTGAATACTTTTTTTTTTTCGGTAATGATTTAGTCCGAGAAGAACAAGCGGATGATGTGCATTGAATTAAAAGTTTTAAAGTCGACTTGGCGAAGCACACACGCACACACACGCACACACACACACTTATCTTGCCTTGGCTGCAATAAATAAAATCAGTTGTCCCGCTCACATGTTCCACCCCTCTTTCTCGATGAATGTCACAGCTGGCTTGATGCGTATCGTTTGGTTTTTGTTTTTTTGAGTGTGTATGCATACCCGCATGTTTGTCTGTGCATAGTTTTTTTTCATCTGTGTGTTTATACAGGTTGAAGGATGTGGGAAAATGTCAGTATCGTCATGTGCACTCATGTGCCGCTATATACAGTAGTGGAACCTTTTAAAATTGAATCCAATCCAATTGAATACTTTTTTTTTTTCGGTAATGATTTAGTCCGAGAAGAACAAGCGGATGATGTGCATTGAATTAAAAGTTTTAAAGTCGACTTGGCGAAGCAGTATGAACGTAGTACTTCTATGAGATGTACTAGACTGAAGCTGAAGAAGCCCATAACGGCTCGAACAGCCAACCAAATGTATCATAATCATTTCTAAGCTGCGTTACTCCCAAGAAAAGGTCGAGAAGCTGCCGAAAGTAACAAAGCGTGGCAAAAACTGGGAAGATTATGCACAGCAAAAGTAAAGTGAAAAACAGTTTATTTATTTTTACATTCTATTTTTGTACTGTATAAGCAAATATAAGCTTTTTCTTTTCTTCCGGGACCTGCACGCGCACCAAAAGTCATCTGCATTCTCATCGAATCTTTATATCGATTTTGACGTTGCCTTCCAGATCAGCACTGTGGAAGACAGCATCAAAAGCCCTCTTCCCGACTCGCTTCACATCTTCAACGCCATCAGTGGCACTCCAACGGGGGCCACCATCCAGGGCATCCCCAGCTCTTCTTCTGTGGTATGAAGAGCCCGAAAGCAGTCAGGCATGGCACCAAGGACCTCCCGCAGGCACAGACTAAACAGTTGTCGCCGCTCACTTACTGGTCACGACGATAGAGCCCACGACCGTGTGTATTTTGAAAGAAGGGGAGGGAATCTGGGATCGGGGAGGATGTCTCCAAATGATGGGATGTCGTTTTTAAGTTCGTGGATGCTTGTCCTCATGTGATGTCATTAGCATTCATTTTGATCAATCAGTTGTGTTTTTGTGTACAGTACGCTTTTATAATTCACTCAATTGATGAATACTTAAGCATTATATGCAGCATACGTGCATCACCCTTGTACATGTTCTATTTCTACAACTTTACCCTCCTGTTTCTTAGCCAATATGAAATTGCCTCACTGTCTTGGGAGGGTTTTAAGACTATTTAAAGCTATTGCATCAAGAAAAAAAAAGGTAGACCGAGTTGTTTTATTTGTGTAAATATGAAAAGAAAAAAGGAACGTGTGCAATATTTGCAAAGGATGTTGTTGTGTGGAGCCCAATACACTGTACAGATGTTTTTCACCTTCATGCCAAAGCGAGGAGGGGTGGAACCTTGACACTGCGCCTACAAGGGGGTCGTTTGAAGCTTTTACCATTTTAGTGTTCATCCCAATGAAATTGTCTTTTATATTTGGGCACCAGTGACTTTTTTTTTTTTTTGGTATTTAACACCAATCACAGTTCTGCTGTAAGCTGATGTTCCCCCGCTGCTTTTCTTGAAATAAAATACACTTAATTTCTCTGCGTGTGTGTGTGTGTGTGTGCGCGCGCGCGCGCGCACAAGTTGTCTTGTTAGGAATGTTTTTATGGAAGCGTCAGGGACTCGGTATCTGTATTATATTATGCTACCGCCCACCGTAAAACAAACTAGTCAGCAAGATGGGAGGATGTATGAATGTCTAGTAAGCATTAGCGAGGAAGAAACATTGTGATCACTCAAGTGTGAATGGTCTCCCAATTGAAAGCAGCTTGTTGACACGATGGCAGGTAAGTTTTGTCGAAGCCACGGTTATTATTCCATATCACCCTTAATTGTGTGTCTGTTATTTCTAGGCACAGATTTTAAGGAGCCAAAGAAAGGGAAGAAGAGTAAAGGAAAGGTAAAAAACACATTTATTACACCTCCATGTTGATAGCATAATGATGAATAAGCCTACAGCTGCTACTGAAATGAAGTGATTTAACCTAAAGCGATACAACAAATGTATGTGATCAACAAAGTGGGATGGAAAATAGAGTGAGCGATGCCACAAGCTATTCTTGCTGAATTGGGAGATTCACAACAATCAAGTTACCCATGAAAAAATTGTAGCAAGATAATCTATGATATCATTCCAAAGCTAGCTCAACAAAAATATACTTAGTTGGCTGGAGAACAAAAAGAACAACTGCACTTTAGAGTTTGGTACTTGTACTATTGGGGTATCATGAACCGTCAACATTTTAACTTGCAAAGATATTTGAGTAACACTCAGGATTAGTGGTTCGCATAATGAACAATAGATTCCTTTACAGAGGTTCCACAGCAGTTATTCAATACTTTTATTTTCACTTATGCAATTGTTTGGAGAACTACTTTGTAAATTTACATAACTTAATTATTTTTAACTGCCATGTACTGTACTGCAGTGCAAATTTTGGCTACTCCACCTACTGTATCTAAATTAGCGATTACATTTCTATTCTCTGGTATGTTGCATAATGTATGAACAATGAAGCTGTGGACGGCCATCTGAAGTTTATTGCACATGAACATGGAATATGAACCAGACAGCCCTACAACTTCATCGGACAATTTAAAGGTTAACAAATGATGAGCAAAGTCAGAAGTGAGGTAGACAAGTCAGTCCGAGGTCGGGCTCACCCATTGATTTTCAGAGGTGCAGAATAAATACATTTGGAAAAGCGTGTGAACTGGATGATAAATTAAGAATTATGTTTCAGCTATGCTGAAAGTAATGAGGACATCAACACCCTCGACTCTGGGGACAGTTCCTTACTTCCATGTGGATCATTGGGGCTCGACAGGAATAGCTATGCTATTACCTTTAGCAAACATGATCTGTATTTTCTTCACATCTATGATCAACTCCGAATCAAACTGCAGAACGGGCTCCCCGGGGGCACACGGGTTCTGTTGATTCATTTGTCCTCATGAATATTAAACTGATTATTAGGTTTGGTGGATTCAAGCAGGAGCTCGTACAGTTGTCCTATTTGCTCATCTTGGAAGTCTTTTAATTTCTCCACCGGGATGTTGATGCCGAATTTCAGAGAGCCGTTTTGGTCTCTGACTGATTCCAGAACTTGCGACTGCAGAGTGTCCTTGTAGTTTTCCCATTCTCTCATGAAGCTCTTCGCTTCTTCGGGCGAAGCGTTTTTGTGTCTTCTGAATTCGTCTTTCACGTAGTTGTCACCGAGGGCTCTCAAATGTATTGGCAGGAAGCGATGCAGCACGAGAATCCTTTTGTACAACGAAAAAACTTTCGAGGCCTGAGCGCCGGCAGCCATGGTTGATACACCTAAGAAAGATCATAAAGAAAATCTTTATTTAAAAAATAAAAAGGCCATGCTAGCAGCTGTGTTACTTAATGCAGCAAACAGTAAAATGCATCGGTTAAACGGATAGTTACTTAGCTCGTCCTTGTCTGCTGGACGGCGGACGTTACACTGACATTGCTTCCGTCAGTCAGCGGTCTCGAATCACACACGGAAACACCAAATCTCGCGATATTATGGAGAGTTAAAACGCCGCAGCATGTTCTCGACAGACAGAAGGAAAATTAACTGTGGGTTAATACAAACTCAATTGCCGTCAAAGCAGCTTTGCACAAGGACTCCACCTTTGGTTTATTTAGGAGAAACTATGTTTCCTGGGAAACGGGATTTAGTTCGTCAAGCAGTCATTTTGCTGCAGGGGAGTACTGTACACATGTCCTTTTTCACACTTTCACAAAATGGCCTTTTTATTTCATCATGACGTTAAAATTGTTTTGTAAAAACGTGTATTATTTTATAAATCTTGGAAAATAAAAAGTTATTTTAAAAAGTATGTCAGTGTTAGAACAAATATGAAATATAAAAAAAATAAAATTATAGTTAGATATTAAACATAAAACACGTCACCTAATTATATTGCCTTATTTTACCATTTAATGGCCATATTCTATATTTGTCTGTATTTTATTTTCAAAACTGTGTTTGTATTTATTTCATTTTGACTCTTAGGCTTCGACAGTCTGACAACCTGCACATCGGTCAAACTGGAGTTTGGAGGGTTACAAAACAAACATGCAACAGCATATTCATGCTAATGACAAGAATTGATGTTTGTTTAAAGGGGTGTGCTGTAAAAGCAGCAACATGAAAGAGTAGTAAAACGGAACAAGCCTTGAGGACTGAGATGCATGTGTTTGTCGGTATTTATTTCAACATTGTGTTTTTATTTATTCTTTTTTTGATTCTTTTTGGCTTCGATAGTCTGGCAACCTGCACATCGTGAAAACAAACTGGAGTTTTAAGGGTGACAAGATAAACATTGAGTAGGCATTTCATGCTCATGACATAAACTGATGTTAGTTGAAGCGGGTTGTGCTGTGAAGGAAGCAACAACATGAAAACAACCCGAAAGTTTTGAGACGGAACGAGGCTTGAGGATTGAGATGCATGTGATTGCTCCTTCTGCATTTGCGCAGGATGTAGCGGTATGTGGCTACCCGCTCAGCATATTTTTCATTGTGGTGAATGAGTTCTGCGAGAGGTTCTCCTACTATGGCATGCGAGGTGAGAATCGATGTCTTGTGCACGAGTCGCACATCCACAGCTAAGCTAAGGATACATTTGGGGAAATTGTTGTTGACTTTGCCTGCTTGTCCACAGCTGTCCTGGTGCTGTACTTTAAGTACTTCCTGCGCTGGGACGATGACATGTCCACCTCCATCTACCATACTTTTGTCGCCCTGTGCTACCTCACTCCTATTTTGGGCGCGATCGTGGCCGACTCCTGGCTGGGGAAATTTAAGTGAGTGGCAGCCTCAGCTTCTGTTGATTCACACTGAACGTATTTTAAGTCAACAGCGGAGTCGCGTAAACGTTTCATTCATTCATTCATTTTCCGAACCGCTTTATCGACAACGTTTCAAATGAACAAAATATAGTAGTTGTGGTCACAAGATTTTTTTAACGTATAAATGTAACACTTTTTAAAATATTTTTTAAAAAGGGCTATAATGATCATGTTGCTAGGGAACTTTTTTTTTTTTTTTTTGCATTAAAGATTGACATTATTGTGTTTGTACCTCCCTGCCCCAGAACCATCATCTACCTGTCCATCGTCTACACACTGGGTCAGGTGGCCATGGCTGTCAGCGCAATCCACGACATTACCGACACCGACAAAGACGGGACGCCCGATGACATGACCTTTCACGTGTGGGTTTCTGTCAATGATAATTTTTGAAAGTGAAGTGTGGGAAGTTGATGGCTTGTTTTGAACCATGCTTTTGTTGACAGTGTCATGTCAATGGTGGGCCTCTTCCTTATTGCTCTGGGCACTGGGGGCATCAAACCTTGCGTGGCTGCCTTTGGTGGGGACCAGTTCAGTGACAGCCAGGTGAGTACATTACCGTACTGTTTACTCATGATGTAGTTGAGGTAAGGAATAGGCATAGAAACAAATAAAAACAGACCGCCGAATGTTCAATGGCCTGAGCACTTCACATTTACCATGCTCCTTAGTAAAAGTACATTACAGCAATCGCCTTGGAGATTTCAATCAATTTGTTTTGAAAACCGAATCCTATATTTTTTTTAATACAACCCCCTGCAGGAGAAGCAAAGACGAACCTTTTTCTCTGTGTTTTACCTGTGCATCAACGGAGGCAGCCTCCTGTCAACCATTATCACTCCCATCCTGAGAGGTAAGAGAAAGCCGACCACAAGCAAGTTTGACACAGAAAATGGAGCCGCGCTGGGTTAGGTGCGACATTTTGAGGTTAAAAGTAGCATGCGGCAAAATAAAATGCTCTCAGTCACCACTGTTTTATATTTGATTTTTTTGTACAAACATCCCGTCGTCGGCCGTGATGAGATCTTTGCGTCTGTTTGTACGTGGCAGCTCAAGAATGTGGCATCCACACCAAGCAGAGTTGCTATCCCCTCGCTTTTGGAGTCCCCGCTGCTCTCATGGTGGTCGCGCTGGGTATGTATTTCTTAACTAGAAAGTTTTGTAAATAGAGACACGTTTTCCATGTAAATGCCCTAATTCGTTCCAAGCCGCTCCAGGAAACTGGAGGGGCTGCTGAATAGCAGCCCATACTGTATTTTTACCTTTCGTATCTTGAAATTTCTTTCGTAACAAGAGGCAATATTTTCCTGTTGAGACGTTTCCTAACTTGAAAATGTCGTATGAAGTGACGTTCGTAAGTAGAGGTACTTTAAACGGAACCATCCGTGAATCGTGTGGCACCCCCACGTATCGCAGGACATATCGAATCGGTTTTTAATGGAGAGCTTCTCACCTTTAATATATGGATACATGGATGTATAGACCGACTGATAATAACGTGTGATGTGACCAACGCAGTGGTGTTCATCGTCGGCAGTGGCATGTACTACAAAGCCGAGCCCCAAGGAAACATCATGATGGATGTTTGCCGATGCATCGGTGTAAGTTTATGGGTTTTTTTGTTTTGTTTTTTTTTGTGGATTTTTCTTCAAGTGTCCGTGCCTCCGTGACAATTTTTGTTTTGTTTGATTCGCTCTCAGTTTGCCATAAAAAACCGCTACAGGCACCGAAGCGGCAGATATCCCAAGAGGCAACACTGGATGGACTGGGCGGAGGAGAAGTATGACGTAAGTTTGGCTTCAATGGTCCCTATCAGCAAGTTTCATAACTAAGTGCTTATTTTGAAAATATTCTTCTCATCAGCAATGCTTTATATTTGTCTCTGATTCTTCCTTCCTTCCCTGTAGAAACTGCTTATCGCTCAAATCAAAATGGTGCTGAAGGTCCTCTTCCTCTACATTCCACTTCCAATGTTTTGGACTCTGTTTGACCAGAAGGTATTTGACTAAAAGCACTTGACTACACTGCGTGCACAATCATTAGCCAAGTTAATGTTTTTTTTGTTTTTTTTGACAAGTCATTCTGTTTTATCTTTCGTTTTTTTACCTTTCATCAAATTCAAAATGTTCCTAAAGCTCAAATCTGAAGTGAGGTGGGGGAAGAAAAAAAAGCAAAGAACTCAATTCAAATTCATGATAGGGTCAAAACACTCACTTGAGCACACAGTGTCGTTTAAATGTTGCACCATCCGATGGGTTACGGCCTTCCAAACACTTTTTTTTTCATTTTGAAGGGTTCCAGGTGGACTTTGCAGGCCACCACTATGGATGGAAACTTTGTAAGTTCACGACTTCATGGTGAAGCAAAAATGTGTGTGCGCTACTAAGCTGCGTGTGTCTGCAGGGAGCTCTCGTCATCCAGCCCGATCAAATGCAGGTAGGCCTGAAGTCAAGTCATCGTGTTGAATGAATCATTGCGTGAACGTGTGTGTGCGTGTTGCAGTGGCCTCACTCTGACTGTGTCATTTTAAAAGACTGTTAATCCCATCCTGATCTTGACCCTGGTGCCCATCATGGACAGTGTTATCTACCCTCTCATCAAAAAATGTGGCCTAAACTTCACGTGAGTAACACTTGAGGGTAACTAAAGATTTGCAGAGGTCTTCACCTACACTGCTTACAAATAAATTAGGGATATTGCCACTAGCAGGTTGCACTAGAGATACAGAGAGACTGGAAGATTCACAGAAAGATGCTCATATAGTGCCCTGGGCATTACTTACTGGCATTAAAAAAATGCATTTTTATAGGGATATCAAGTAAATCTGCATAGATTTAGGGATTTAATAGTACTGTATTAAGAAATAATAACTAGTTGTATTGAAATTATCACAATGGTATTTGTTTCATTAGGCCTCTGAAAAGAATGACCGTGGGGATGTTTCTGGCAGCGTTGGCCTTCGTCTGCGCTGCTCTGGTTCAGGTTGAAATTGACGTAAGTGGACGGTGAATTATTATGTGTTGACATTGTTTCAAATCTCAATGAGAGGCGGCTTATGTTTTGTGCCTTGTAAAAATAAAAAGTAGCACAACCAGTAAACTGACCTCTAATTTTATTTTATTTTTTAGAAATCATTGCCCACATTCCCATCAGCATCACAGAGTCAGTTGAAATTATTAAACATGGGGGCTGAGCCACTCAAAGTCAAACTGCCCGACAATGTGCAGCTGGAGCTTCCTCCAAATCAGGTATGCCAGTATCTCTTCAAAACTACAATGTATAATATTTATTCATACAGATGTAGAATCACTGTGTTTATTCTTATTTTGACCAAACGTATGTATGCTGGTAAGAATGTGTTTTAGGGTTTCCCCCAACACAACTCCCCAAACTTACTCAGTACGCCCCCTGGAAATTAAAAAAACATTGTTCCCTGACACCAGTTTGCCCCGTTAAGCTCACATTGGGTGCACATTCCGTAACAGGGCAAATGAAAAGTTCCACCGAACAGGAAGTCGGCCATCTTGAGTCAAAGCCGCCAATTTGAGCACATTCCAAGACTTTTTATATTTGTGTGTGTGGCAGGCCAGTGAGCAGTACTTGACATTTGGAGAGGAAGAAATCATTGTGTCCGTGGAGAGCCGCGTAGGAGTGACAAGAGCACTCTTTTTAACCAAGGGAGTGCGAGAGACACTTCTGCTTCCCGCAAACATCTCAAGCGAATGGCTGCTGGTGAGTTCTGTACAATTCAAATGCATCAAGACGCCTGTAGGGGGCGCAGCAAGTAAACAGTCACTTTGTGCTTCTCAGACTGAGGATGTGAAGGCCAAGCCGCAGCAAGGAAATAACGCTGTCAGGTGCATGACGTGTTATTATATGTATCCTTCCGTCCATTTTCTACAGCATTTTACTCAAGACCGCGTGAGAGCTGGAGGCTCTCCCAGCTGACCTTCGACAAACAGCCATTTATACTGGCATTCAGTTAAATGTTTCAGCGCTGGAGAATGATACCACAAATTAATTTCAAAATATACAATATTACACCACCATAGGAGGTGCTATAGAAAATGGATGGCTATTTGTCCATAGTTCATACATAGGACACTGAAAATCTACCATTTCATTGTGTGTTTGTTTTTTTTCTTAATTTCAGATTTATCAACGGAATGTTAACAGGAGTGAATGTGTCCATAGCTGGAGCAGAGCCCACTTTACTCGAGCCGGAATATTATTCAAACTATTCCCAGATTAAAACTGGAATGTAAGTACAGCAAAGGTTTACAGGCCATTGTCAACAGCCACCGTAATAATGACGCTAACGTACAAATGTATGATTTTGCAACTTTCAGCACCACGTTCACCATAAGGAGCGGGTCGGAGTCATGCGACTACAGGAGGGAGTTTGGATTCGGAAGTTCGTACACTTTTCTTATCCACAGCACGTTCAAGTTTGGCCCCTCTGTGAGTTTGCCACATGCATTGCCGGCAAATATGCTCACATGTATTCATTTTCAGTGTTTCATATTTTGATTTTTTTTTTTTTAACGTATTTATTTTTTGTTAGTGTCACGAGTCTATTAGCGCAGTCGAAGACATTAAGCCCAACTCGGTTCACATGGCCCTCCAGATCCCACAGTACTTCTTCATCACTGCGGGCGAAGTCATGTTTTCTGTCACAGGCCTGGAGTTCTCCTACTCACAGGTAAACCCGTACTGTATTAAACCACATATTCGTGTCTCGTCAATATTTTACAGTAACTGAGCCCTGCCACAGAGAGCAAAAATCTATCAGTAATTGACACTCCCCAAAAGGTTCATAGGGGCCTCTAGATGCTGCACGATGGCACCAATGCACTCTTTTTCTATTAGAAAGCCTTTTCCAATAGAAGCTTCTCCTTTTTTTCATCTGTGTTGCACATAGAGCATGTTTGACAATAAAAGCTGACTTGACTTCACGTCAACATAGTTTCACGGTACCAAGACGCAACAACTCAGGGCAGAAAGAGCACAAAGACAGAAAAGAGGCAAATTTTTCAGCAGAAGATATACTGTACACCATAGTTTTTGCACATTTTCAGCTATTATCTTCAAACGTGTATCATTTGTTGAGGTGTTTCTGCCTGTATTTAAATTTTTGTCTCAAAGGCGCCAAGTAACATGAAAGCAGTCCTACAAGCAGGCTGGTTGTTGACTGTGGCTATCGGCAACTTCATCGTTTTGATTGTGGCTGAGCTTGCCAAGATACCCGAACAGGTAAAAAAAAAAAAAAAAAAAAAAAAACAATTGCAGAAATAGCACCCACACCCAAATGTTGCAGTCATGTGGTGAGATAATAATTTTATTCCTCTTGTTTAAAGTGGGCGGAGTACGTCCTCTTCGCCTCGCTGCTGATCGCCGTCTGTTTCTTCTTCTCCATCATGGCGTACTTCTACACCTACATGGATCCCGCCGAAATTGAGGCCCAGTTCAAAAAGAATGTGGATGACGACAAGGATGACAGAGCCCTGAAACAGAAGATGAACTTTGCGAAAGACTCTGTTGAGAGTGATGATGAGAAAGATGAAAACAAACAAACTCAATTGTGAAAAAAAGAAAAGTGTGATGCCATGACGCCCCTGAGGCAATATGGCTAAATGTTTGAACTTATTTCAATTTTAAAATGCACTGTTCTACTTTTATAGTCTTGCTTAATTATGTAACATAATCAATCATTTTAGGGAATATTGTGTGATTGTTGATGAGAAAATGGGAGTACAGTACTGTATATTATTTTGTTTCTTGTAACAGTCCAACATAACTTTAATCCAACACATTATCAAATGTCATCTCATCATCTAAACATTTACCATTTATAATGAAGAAGGATCCTCACCACAGAACCATGAAAAAAAGCATGTCGCCACACAGATATGAACAGCAGAATTACAGTTACAGACAAGCGTGTTACTTGAAAAAAAATATATCATTTGCCGCTGTTAATAAAGATTTTATGATACCAACAGTTCGAGTCTTGTAAAACTACATTTAATTTAAGTATGGCAACCCGTTCGAGTATTTTGACATCTCGGGAGCAAAAGTCAAACTTGGAAAAAAAACCCCTCAAAGCACAGATAACTGAAAAATCTACTTCATGAAAGTAACGAAGTATTTGTTATTCGTTACTTCGCACTACTTCCGGTAAGACGGTCGTCCTGAACTGTCTTTCGAGTAAGGACAAAGAGCGTACTAGTGTAGCACATGGATAACGAATATATGCTCAAACCGTTTTCCCCAAATGACACTATCATGAACTTTTGTCACCATTTGTGTTCTTCTGTGACGCGACCGACCTGGGCTGACGTCATCCGCACACCGCACTGTTCTTCGCTACGATTGGCTGCGCCCACTAAATGAAAATGACATTAACAAAGATGGCGCCGGGAGAGCTCGAAAAGCGTTGAGAGCAACAAACGATACAACTACATAACAGTGCATGTCCGGAAATTGTTTGGGAATATTTCGTGGCCGGGACTCTGCTTTGATAACGGGATGATTTCGCGTAAATTTCGAACCCCCGAGCAGGACTTGTGAGATTGAATTGAGGCGCAAACGAACTGTTTGCCAACTAGCAGTTGAAGTAGCTTAGCGTCGCGAGCGTTAGCTCACTGCGGAAGGCAAGGGGGGGACGCGGTTCGAAGTACAAGGCGACACAAGTCGAGCCTTAGCTTGTAAACCAAACAACTTTTGCTTCCGACACCGTGACCAGCCTCACCAGGACTGCAGTGCGGACCGCGTCGTCTAAAACAGAGGTCGATAAAGCGACCACATCGCCGAAGAGGAAACGAGGTGGGGAAGCCGTCCTCTTAGCTGACCTGACGCCATGGCTCACTCCCCGATACAAAGTGGGCTTCCGGGGATTCAGGTAAACTCCATACAACGAACGCAGAAACAATATTTTCATGAATTTCTCACTGCTCGTGCGTTTCCTCTCTCGTGTCACTACTAACCTGCAACTATATCTCGACTTAATCTTACAGCTCTGTACACTTGTTAGGTTTACAACTAAATTGACTCAAAAGAATGTCATGTCATGTCATTTCATCAGAACTTCTCTAAACATTTTTTTACACAACCTCTTTTTTTGGTTGCCCAAGTCAACGCAGCAACAGTACACTTTGCGGGTAAAAAGATTAGGAGCTGTTATGTTCAATAGCAATACTCTAAACGTGGTTGTGTTTTTTTGAAAAATAGGAATCAAGTTGGCTGTCTTCCATTTGTGTAGCTTGCCGTCATCTGAATATTCTGAGCGCTTCCACGGACATAAAGATAATAACATTTTAACAATTGAAAATGTTGTTTGTATTGTGAGTAAAGGTAAAAATAACTTCCTGTTACCTCAAGATGACATATAGCTACTGGTAGTCTGTTATGCATTTGCAGGTTGAACAAAATGAGTTAATTCTGAACCTGTCTTCCTCATAAGAAGTAATGGCAAGTAGAAAAAGAACTTGTTTTCGGACTTAAAACCATTATCAACTCTATAGGTGAGGTAAAATAAAATCTTGATGATCTTTGTTCAGGCAACTTTAAAAATCAGTGAGTCATCATCAGAAGACTGTCCATTAAACTGTGAGCCCTCTGACGTGATTGGGTGGGGGGGGCATTTAAGTGGAAAGTGACTTGTCTGTGTGTTCTGTGCTTTTTATCATTCTGAAGTCACAAATAAAAAGTATATTTAAAACTAGGGCCAGAACGATTGGCAGATACAAAAAATACAGGTTGCTGATTATTTTTAAAATATACATATAATGCATAAAATGACAATGGACTATAGTTAAAATATGCACCAAAACTTATGGATGTGGTAATTTACCCCAGTACAAAAAAATCAGACTCTGAGAGTATACGCGTATAGAACACCTCTATACTGACACTGAAACCCCAAAGCATTTGTAAAAGCAGTAGAATCATAGTTGCTTCAACAATGTACTTCAAATTCCTTGAATTTTTGTGATTTTTAAAATAATTTAGGGAACCACTGGAGGATCCTAAATACATTTTCCCAATTGATAAAAATAAAAAAAATGGAAAATTTGACACAGCAGTTCCGCTATTAAACAAAAATAGTGATCCTCGCAGCTGAAAAGATTTGTATCCTTGTTGAACGTTTTTCACTGAAGAAATTTTTTTTGTCAAAAACCAGACGTGAGAAACCAACGCACTTCTCTTTTTGTTTGGAGCGTTCGTAACTGCGTCGGTTAAAAGCTAAGCTGAGGACCACACGTGTGTAGCAAGCCTACCAAGGCCAACCAGATACTGTTTTTTAATGGTGAGGTATCGCAGTACTTTGTTCTTTTTTTTTTCACACCGGTACCGCACTCGACCCCAGACGCAAACATGTCAAGAGGTGGTAGACATGGAATGGAAGGATTTCTGTAATTGGAAAGCCTCTCTGAAGTATGACAGCGAAGCAAATAGCCATGCCGACACACCACAAGTAGTTTTGGAAAACGCGACCCGCCGCCACAGGTTCCGATAACCGTGGCATCGTAATGTAGCGAATCACGAGCTGTTAGTGGCGAGGGGTGTGGCCTTTGGATGGCATAACGCGATTTGTTTGCGGTGCACGCGGGCGAGCGTCTAACAAAAGCTTTTAGTCAGTGGCCGTAAACGTGCTGACAGCAACGATGGTGAGTACGTTCCCACCGTGCGTACTCTGCTCCCACAGCGCACTTGTTGTTTTTGCGGAGAATGAGCTCCACATTGTTTTCACCTGGATGACCGAGCGCAGCGATGTTTGGATAGTTTTTTGCTTGTGTTCTTTCCGCGGCGTGTTATTCCATGCCGACCAACCTCTTTGTTGCAAAGTCCCATCGCTATCAAATTGAGTAGCCCCCCCACCGGTTCCCTACCGCCCGGCATTCCCTACCATGCATTAGCTCTTTTACAGGAAACTGTCCTCCCGGGATGGACGCTCATCAGGAATTTGTGAGCTTACACATTACCGTCATAGGGCTGGGATACCTGCTACGTTGAGCATCGGATGTGTATTGAACATCAGTTTATATTTCTGCTTTGGAGGGAAAAGAAACGTAAGCGATATCCGATGCAGTGTCACGCTAAAATCAAAACGTTTTCATTTATATGTATCTGTGCTAAAATGTTTGGCTTGATTGTGTCGTGTGAAAGGAAATGGCAGCGCCTCACTTCAGGACCACTCTGACGCTCTACGGCACAGATTTCAAAGTTAAGGCCTGGGGGCCAGATCCGGCCCGCCGCGTCATTTAATGTGGCCCGCCAAAAGAAAATCATGTGTGTCAACTTGCATGATCCTTGCTAAGATCTCTATCAAAATGTCAAATTGTCATGTAAAATAAATGATGAGATTTTGTTACCCTGTTTACACTCACTTCAACAATAATTGACTCTTGTAGTTGACTGATTTCAAAACGAGTAATACATTAAATTTGGTGTGTACAAGTAGTAATGCGATGTGACAAAAACATTTTTTTGTTTCACTGTCGGCACTCTGAAGGAAGTCGTAACTCCAAAGTGGCCCGCGACAAAAATTAGTTTGACACCCCTGCTCTACGGGGAAATAAGCCATTTGAGTCAATAGATCCCGCACACGCTGACCTTCTGAATGATATTTTGTGTTACACTGATTTTTCAACTCTTTTACACCACCGTGGAAGCTTGGCATTGGTCTCGATGCTTCAGTCAAGCATGAGAAAATCAACAGAATCAGATTGGGCCAAGTTATGATGTTTGAATTTGTTGTCCTCGTCTCACGCGAAGTGTTCCCTGTCCCCTCAGAACCTCAAAGCCGATCCAGAGGAGCTTTTCACCAAGCTGGAGAGGATAGGCAAAGGTTCCTTCGGGGAGGTGTTTAAAGGCATCGACAATCGCACTCAGAAGGTGGTGGCCATTAAAATAATTGACCTGGAAGAAGCCGAGGATGAGATTGAGGACATCCAACAGGAAATCACAGTTCTCAGCCAGTGTGACAGTCCTTTTATCACCAAGTACTTTGGATCCTATCTCAAGGTGAGCTCATGCGGGAACATCCTGTATTGAACTCGGAGTGCGCCGTGCCCTTCCTTAATGTCTCATAAATATTGCAGTCGGTGTGGTTTAGCGGGCACGTCCTTCAGTAATTCAAGCGGTCGGACGCGTGTACGTCTGGAGATAAAATGAACCAGGTTGTCAAATAAAGTTGAAAATGTCAGTATTTGTTTCCACCCGCAAATGTCTCGAAAAATCTTGGCCTTACGTTTCCATTCGAGGAGAGGAAAATTTTGGCGTTTCGGTCATCTCTCGTTAGCTGCGCTGACAACAAAGGGCCAGTTGTGAATTGTAAATATTTTGTTCTCGTTATGGTAAGTTCTCACATTGTGCGATTTATGCTTACAGCGCCTCTAATAGCATTTAGTGTGGTACTTAAGGGGAACACGGAGAGTAACGGCAGTCCATTATGTCAATTATTCCTCTGGCTGAAAGAGAGAATTGTTGTTGTTGTTTTTTTTGCACTTTGGCTTGTCTGATGTTGATTGATTAATTGATTGGTGTCATAGTGCACTTAATGATTATCCCAACCAAAAGAGCTGTGGAATGAAAAAAAAATCACATTCACATGCATTGGCTAACGGTTGGATTTAGGTTCCTTATCAGTACGGCTGGAAATCCTTTGTCACAATAAATATACACAGTACACCCATCGTAAAAGTTTGCATAACTTCTATTGGCAGAGTCCTACAATATGTGTCTGTAAATTTCCTTATACAGTGGTACCTCGACTTACGAACGTGTCTTCATACGAACTGTTCAAGTTGCGAAACGTCTCAACAGGAAAATGTTGCCTCTAGGTATGAAAGAAATGTCAAGATACGAAAGGTAAAAATACAGTATGGGCTGCTACTTGCAGCTCCGCGTTTCCTGAACGCAACATACTTATCGCTGCTCTGCCATTGGCTATTACAGAGCATCATCCTGGCATCCCATTGGCTAAGAGGGACTTCTGTCGAATGTATCTATGTGCGTAGAGAGATAGAGATGCGTCGATGCAGCGGCCTCATCATTCGCCCCTCAGGCCATGTGGCGTTCCAATTTTGTTTTACGTCAATGTGAATCACCCAGAAAAAGTTGGGCGATCGCTCACTATGCTGATGTTTGCCTTAGACATTTTCGAAGGATTGGTAAAAGCCGACAAAAGCAAACGTCCTGAATCACTTCTTTACAAAACACCAGGCAAAAACCACTTTTGAGAGAGAACATGAACTAAAGAGGGCAAAAAACAATGAGGATGCAGTTAAAAGTGAACCCCCCCGATGTTTCTTTCGAGAACACTCAGAATGCCTCTCGTTTTTTTCAGGGAACAAAATTATGGATTATTATGGAATATCTGGGCGGAGGGTCTGCTCTTGATTTGGTAAGTGGACCAAATCACTCATCAACAAAGATCATTTCATGCGCTTTATTTGTTTTTATTTCCAAATGTCAACTCATGGAGGCCGAGTCTCAAATGACTGAATGCGTTTTGCAGTTGGAACCGGGCTCCCTGGATGAGACGCAGATTGCCACCATTTTGAGAGAAATCCTGAAGGGGCTCGAATATCTGCACTCCGAAAAGAAAATCCACAGAGATATCAAAGGTGAGAGAGCAAAGCGGGTGACGTTAATGCCGGTGATGAACGCAAACCATGCCTCTCCGTATCTCCAAAAAAGACGACATGAAACATGATTTTATTCAAAATGGTCAAAAGGTAAAGAAGAACGCGAGGAATATAAACAGAAACCTTCTGTTGTCACCTCATGTCTTGTGATGAACATGCGCACAACTCTTGGCAGTCACGTCAGTGCCGACGCTAGTGCTAGCACAAGAAATGTGGACTGTATCATCGTACTGAGTTAAGCATTAAAAGTTGAGCACCATTCATGGAAAGACGAATTCTCCTTTGCATGAAGTTCAGTTTGTGGAATAAAAAGCAGCTCGGGTAAAAAAATAATAATTGTCTTGACATTTGCAGCTGCCAATGTGTTGCTGTCGGAACAAGGAGACGTGAAACTGGCAGACTTTGGCGTGGCGGGCCAGCTGACGGACACGCAGATAAAAAGGAACACGTTTGTGGGTACTCCTTTCTGGATGGCGCCTGAAGTCATAAAACAGTCGGCGTACGACTCAAAGGTCAGAATGATGATTGTTGTGTGTGTGTGTATATAGCAGAAAGTGACAAATGTGCGGAGGGGGGAGGCAAGAGATTTAGATTTTACACAAATACAACTGAGAACATTCATAAGTAAAACTACGCAATGGCCAAACTCCTGTCCCGATGCTGACGTGAAGACAAACCAGCCATGTTCTGAAAGTCAGTCAATAGGCCACGCCCCTTCCAAGGCACACAATACAATATCTCTCGGTTGTCCTCACGTACAGCAATTACACTTAATTAAGGCAGTTGTATTAATTTACATTCTCTTTCTGTCATTTTTTAAATACAATTTCGTGTCATTTTCTTTATGATAAACAGCCGGGTTGTTGTCTGTGGGGCTGGAATGCGTTAATGGCCTTCCAATGAGCAATATTGATTGGACATAAAAGTTGAGATATGACCTTGGTCACGGAAACGAATGCATCTCACAAGTCAAGGTGCGGCTGTTCGGTGGGTCTCCGCTCATTGCAGCCGGCCTGCGAATAATGAAAACCCACGTCTTAATTGACCCCCATGATAAATGTATAATTCATTCATGATAATTGAGGCTAAGCAGTGCCGGAGGTGAATGGGTGATTAATTATTCACCGGCGCGTATTATAGATCATTTTGTCACTTTTAGTCGTCCATACAAAAGTGGTGACTGATTGAGCAAACGAAACCCTGGTCATGATTTAAATAGAAAAAAATGGAATTGTTATTTTATCCTTTTGCCTTTTTTCATCTAAATGGCCCCATTTTTGGATTTATGTGTGAGTCAGCGTCCTTTGTCATTTTCCGACGGTACATGACGCGCCGTCCTCAAATAAACGAAACCCGCGCCACTCCAGCCGACCTCTTTTCGCGTCGGTGCCTCATCCTTTAAATGGCCCTCGTTTATTCTCGTCGTCGCGTCTTTGCCCGCGCAGGCAGACATCTGGTCGCTGGGAATCACGGCGATCGAGCTGGCGAAAGGGGAGCCGCCCCACTCGGAGCTCCATCCCATGAAGGTCTTGTTCCTCATCCCAAAGAATAATCCGCCCACGCTGGAGGGAAACTACAGTAAACCACTTAAAGAGTTTGTGGAAGCCTGTTTGAATAAAGAGCCCAGTTTTGTAAGTTGGCAAGTTTTCCCGCCGCCGACGCGTTGGACTCTCGATTAGTCTCATAGGCTAATTTTCATGCGTTTCCCGTTTTTTTTTTTTTTTTTTTGTAGAGGCCGACTGCCAAAGAGCTGCTGAAGCACAAGTTGATTGTACGGCACGCCAAAAAGACCTCCTATCTGACGGAGTTGATCGACCGGTACAAGAGGTGGAAAGCGGAGCAGTCGCGAGACGAGTCCAGCTCCGAGGAGTCCGACGAGTGAGTTAGTCGCGGTCACACGAGGACGCAAGGCCAAAACCGACCGGGCTGTTTTTTGTTGCAGGGAGACGCAAGGACAAGCGTCGGGAGGAGACGCCGCCGCCAATGATGACTGGATCTTCAACACCATCAGGGAGAAGGACTTGAAGAAGGTGCAGCACAACGGGGCCGTGCAGCCTGCCGAGTTGAAAATCGAACCGGTAAGAACATTTTGAGAACATTTATGGAAAGTTTGGGGGCGGGGGATTTGTAAATAATCTCAATTGGAAGATTTATGGAGATCTGCCGTGCCCTGCCGTGAATCGCGACAGTGGTCCTTGAGGGCCGAAGCTGGGCAGGCCTGGTCTAAATGAAACTTAGTTGGTGAGGTGGCTTATTTTTCAACTGATTTGGGATCGGGTGAAAGATGATATCTCGTTGTTTTCGTCAAGGTTATTCCAAATTATACAGTGAGTCAAAAGAGTACCGTATTTTCCGCACTATAAGGCGCACCTAAAAGCTGTATTGTATTATATTGCATTCCCTTGAGTGTGGCTCCATCTAGTCGATGCATAACGCAACCTCAGCCATTATTGTAGCTTCTATTCTATGCGTCTTATCATGCGGTGCGCCCTATTTATGAAAACAGTTTTAAAATAGGCCAGTCATCGAAGGTGCGCCTTATACTCCGAAGCGCCTTATAGTGCGGAAAATACGGTAAGGTGATTCCACTTTGGTTTATTCCACCTGTTAATTCTCTCCAACTTTTACCGCGCCATTGAAAACCTCATTCTCATAAGCGGATGATTTTTAGGTTTTACAGGAGCAGGAGAGTCCAAAGAGGCCTCTGTCACAGAGCTTATCATCCATCTTCTCGCCGTTGTTTTCGGAGGTAATTAACAACACTTCGACACGGAGCCATTTGAAATCAAAACATACACGACCGGTGGCCAACTAAATACTCTGCTGTGACTGCAGCTGAAAGCCAAAGGCGAGACCAGCAATGGCAAGCCGGAGGCTGCGGAGGCCCTGCAGGAGGCCATTTTAGTGGCCGAAGACATACATCCGGGTGTGTGCGACTCGCTGGTGGCCGAACTACTGCAGAGACTTCAGAGGTAACTCACGCACACGCACACCGTGCCGGAACGTTCTGACAATTGTACATTTCTTATCCTCAAAGCTGCGAAAATCAGACTTGAATTTTGATATCTGCACCGCAAATGTTCTCAAAGCTACGTTACAAGTAGATTAGATCTTTTTTTCTTTTTTTTTTTTCTTTTTTTTTTTTTTTTTTTTTTTTACAACCCATTCAGAAATAATTAAGCCAAAAATTAAATGGATATTTGTATATGTGTATATTAAAATGTATTGTTTGTTAAAAAAATATACATGGGCAGAGGAACCGAGCGGGGTGTCACATATTAAATCGCAGTGTAAAAAAGTTAAATTCAGGCCAAGTTTTCAAATGTTAAAAAGTGTCTATAGTTTTGAAGTGACGAAATATGTCCCCGATTTTGTCATCCACGTCAGGTTTTCTGTGCCTCAGACTGCTGCCACTCATTGAGAAAAAAAAAAGCACAATTGAGCACCTCGGTGTGGACGTATTGATGAAGACTTGCAAGCCGTCATAGGATTTGTGCTCCATCACTCATTAGCCTGCCGGTGCACGCGCACGCCGCTAGAAGCCCCCCCTGTCCTCCCCCCTCGAGGGCGGGAGAGTGGACTTAAGCCATCGTCTCTCTCTCTCTCTCGAGCTCTTATTTTGGAGGTGTGCGTGTGTGCGTGTGTGTGTGTGAGTGTGCACGCGTGCGCGAAAGCGTTCTTTTGAAAACTCAGGTATCCTGCTTTTTAAGGTCCTCTGGGGGAGGTCAAATGAGCTCGACAGGAAGGTTGTACAAACTTGTAAATAAGCACATTTCTACGGATTCAAGAACAAAATAATAACGGTCATAATAATCATCATCATAATAATGTGGTTGTACAAATGGCCAAACGCACACTGTAGATAATATTGGCGGTGAGGTAAATATTTTGGAAAATAGAAAGGGCCACACGTGAGATTGCCTCCTGAGAGTAGACCACGCTTTGATTTGCGCGGCTTCTGCATTTGTACATTTAAAGTCCGTCATTTCACACCAGGTCATAGCAAACGTCCTTTCTGGATCATTCACGCTCGGCAGCCCCCCGCTCCCCAAAATGCGCGTGGATCACGATATAAAAATGTTGTAATTTTTTTTTTTTTTTTTTTAATTGATTGTCAGTCTGGCATACATTGTCGACAAAGGGCTTTTTGAATTGCCATCTGTTCAAGTTCATTGCTGTCCCGTGTGTTTTGGTCGTTAGTTTTACACTGTGCGATATTCGGGTGCGTGTCAAGAAATTTGAATATCGTCCACGGATGAATTGAGTTCCCCGACGATATTCACAATTCATTGAGACACACTTTCATGCAAGTAAGCATAGCCAAATTTGTCATCTTGGTGCTGATCGGAAAAAGTGCGAGAATCCCCGCCTTCGGCTGTATGAAAGAAGCGCACTTGAATTTGGAATATGGTTCCACATGATGCGCCGGCTTATACAGGATGATCACCGAATTGCATTTGGAATGATCTCGGTCCTTTTTAAAAATCAGCCGCTTGTGCGGGGGCTTCGCTTTTTCCTCTCGTCTCGTAGGCGACGATGCGATGCGTTGTGCGTAGACTTCTTTCAAGACAGTTGTTTGCCCGCCTTTTTGCCACATGACCGACTTGGGATCTTTTCTCCCGGCGTGGTACAGCGCGCTCGATTTTGCGACTAGTCACACCGTCTTCCTCTGATTGCACGAACGTCCGAGTTGAAAGAAATGCCTTTTGGGTGGCCATACAAAACACACAGGAATGAGCAGGAGGCGGGACTGTGGAAAAGCGAAGGGCATGACTTGAGATCACGTCAAGTGCAGTGAAGAAGAAATTAGCTCTACGGGGGTCCAACCAACAACCAAATTGATACCCATTGTCCATTGTTTTAAAAATTAATAACCCATCCTCAGATTTTTTTTTCCAATACAGGAAAGAAACATTTCTCTTTAATTCAAATTTTCTGAGTTTCAGCAAAAAAAAAAAAAAAAAAAAATTCATTTTCTCCAACACGCCATGTCTGATTTCTGAACATACTGCATTAAAATTTCTTGAGGTAAACACCACCTGAAACACTGACGGCAACTCCAGATTGCTCGTTTTGATCCCGAATGTGAAGATGTGCCCAGTCCAGGGGCGGATCTATTCTCGTGGGATACAGGGCCAAAATCACCCCCGAAATCCCCCAAAATCCCAATACTACTTGCCTTATCACCTTTTAACAGAAAGCTGCAAGGAGCAGTTTTCAAACAGATAATTATCGCTTGATTGCTTTCAGTGTGTTTCGGAAATGAAAGATTAAGAATTTCAATTTTTTTTTTTTTTTTGTTCTCGTTAAATTTGGACCCCCGCTGGATTAAGCGAGTTATCAACTAGCAGTGGTTGAGCGCGTGGGGACAGTGCAGCAGTAGGACACCCGGTGGTCAGTCCGTGCCACGTATGCGTTGTAGCACACGTCCAGCAGGACGCCATCCGTGTTGATTGTTGACTTGAATCATCCTGGGACAATGCGATGTGAATGTTTGGGGGGCGGAGGGGCATATTTGAAATGCTCAAATCGAAATCCCATTGAGGATGCTTTGCTGGATGCTCTGCCTTTTTTTTTTTTTTGCCACATGTTTTTGCATAGACTGAATTAAGTCCTCAAAATCAAATATTTACAGTCGACTGACTAGCCTGGCTGCTGTGTGATTTGTTTTCCGGTGGTGGTCCAAACGCACCGCCGTTCACGTTTTATTTCCCTGCTCCACAGTGAATCGTGCCATGTGACAACTCATTTCAACAAACTCCGTTATGCTTTGCACCTTTTACATTTTCAAAATAGACTCATTTTCATGTGTATTTTTATTTTCGTGTGTTGCACTTTGATTTTTATTCGGTTGCTATATTGTGGTACTTATCGAGGTTAAAAAAAAATGTTCTGTCACGCTTACGCCGCCTTTATTATTATTTCGCGTCCCATTTCGTGTGTGTGTTATGGCAATAAAGTACGGCGTGACGGCCAGGATGAATAATGTCTTAGCACAACTATATTCTTCTTTCAAACTATTTTTATAACCCCAGAGGAGCAGTATTATTTAATAGCGCTAGTAAAGTTAAAGTCTGGTGATGTGTCCTAAAGAATCGGTAAACACTGGAAAGCAAATGTACATTTTATGTGACGACTCCACTTGACGTTTGTTCATTCGACGCAGTGCTGTTGGGATTATTGGACGATGTCAAATGATGATGACAGAAATAAAAATCTAGCACAGATCTTTTGCATTTTTTGTCATTCCTTGAAATGATGACCTCAAGTTCAGTTTGCCACGCTGTCCTTTCAGTATTTGTTTACTGACCAAAAGTATAAACACGGCGCTTTGGGCTCACATGTTTCATGAGCTGACCTCAAAGTTTCAAGACATCCTGTTCACTCACTTTTCACAAACGTGTATAAAGTCTGTCAGTGAGCGCTTCTCCTTTGCCCCGCATATATAAATTAGATTTTGTACAGCACAAGGGGGAAGTGGGTGGGGGGAAAAAAAAAAAAAAACGATGCTTCTTTGTGTCATCAAATACCTCACAGCAAGTTTTATTTATACATCCAAAAACAAAAGATCAAATTTGTCACACTATATACAGATATTACATACAGTGTTTGTACACATATTACATAACTTGTACACAAGAAAAATAGACATAAAAATGTAAACCTTTTGTATCCAAAAAAATACCTTAGACAAATAAACAAAGGACCGTTAACAAAAGGTGACTAGATTTGAGCTCGCCCTCGCTTTCAAAAACCATAAAACGGTTACATTCAATGGATATGGAATTTGTCAGCCATCTCTTAATACACAAGCAGTTAACGTGCCTACGAGCCCTGTTCGTTTTGTTCTACATCATGTCGGAAGAGTGGGGCGCAGCGACTACTCATGCTCTAAATGTGGATACAGCAGTATTACCGTGTTTTGCTGGCAAAGAAACAATCCAATAGCATATATAGATAGATATATTTTTTTCCCACTTAATTTAATAACACTGCAGGCGTCTGTGGTGGAGCTACAATGATGTGTGTTCTCTTTGGAAAGGAGAGGGAACTCTGCCTTCTCACAGCTAGAAACTGGCGATGAGCGCGGGAAGTTGCTAACGAGCAAATGAAATGGAAATTAAAAGAAAAGAAAATCAGGACATGCAGTAACTAACACGGCAGGCTTAAATCCTTTTCACTTCTGTGCAAATCCACCTTGAACTACATCGTCCGTTCACAAAATAAATGGAAGATGAATATATTCCTCTTTCAATACCTTTTCATATGCACTTAATATCTGCAATCGCTCCCGGGGTTTTGATTTTCTTATGACAACATTCTTCCGCAGAACAGTTCCAAACTACGTAACATGACAACGTACACAGCAAACAGACACCGATTCATCCGATGGCCCAGAGAGCTTTACGACCCGTTTGATCACCGTTTAAAAAAAAAAAAAAAAAAAAAAAAAAAACAAGAGACTTGTTCTACACTCTACACGTTCCATTGAACACGTCGCAAGTGACTATTTTCTGCCCATTTGCTACTCGGTAATTCACCGTTAAACCCCCAGGATACGGCCCGTCACGCTATACATCCGATACACATTCCCTCACGTATGCATCCGAGGCCAGCGTTTTGCCCTGCTGTCATTTTCGTTCATTTGAAATCCAGATGATTTACACAAAAAAAATAATAAAAATCTTAAAAACTGACTTGAGTCATTCTAAATTCAGAGCACGTCAACTATTAGAATCGCGCGATACCTGCCTGGTGAGAGACAAATGGCAACTTTCAATGCAGATGTACGTGTAACGCAGGGGTGTCCAAACTTGTCCTCTGAGGCTAACTTTGAAATTCTTTCGGGGGAATAAGATACATATACATCAAACAATTTTAAAGTTTTGAGTTACATTGGGAAAACTCACAACTTTGTGTTAAAAGGCAAATAGTTAAAAATGTTCAACCATTTTAAAATGTCACGGCCCCGTAATCCCACCGAAATAGATCCGCCCATGGATCGAACGGCATCTGAATCGCATTTCCGTATTCAGAATCAAAAACGAGTAATCATAATCACAAATTGGATTTTAACATCGAGCGGAAAGTGCAGCATTATTTTCCATCAGGAAGTTGTAAGAAAGCAATTTTGTTACTATTTGAGGTCTTAGTAGTTTCTCTAATAGTCTCTTTGCATACCTCAAAGTTCTAACTGCCAATCCATTTTCTGGACTAGTTACCTAATGTTCTTTTTTTTTTTTTTTTTTTTAGCACACGCTACGGACGGCTAAAAAATATATGTCTGGCCCGAGTCTGGACACCCCCGAATGTTCACTCAGACCTTAAAAGTTAAGCAGAGAGCAAAAGGAGCAGTCAGCACCTTGGAAAGTAGAAAAAGTCCCTGGATAATCGCGACCATTCATCCCACTGGAACTCGCCAGGCGACGCTACATGGAACCACTCGAGAATATCCTTCCGTGCGGTGATGCCAACATTGACGTCGATGTGTTTATTGCTTCGGTATTTAGTTACCTTTTGTGAACCGGGTCGCACAACCAACAGTGAATGAGGTTCGGAGATTTATACGAGAAATCTGCGCCAACCGATTAAAATGAGCACATGTACAGCAAACACACCATAAAAAAAATTTAAAAAAAAAAAACGGCTTTAAAAGTATGTGGGTGACCGTGTCTAAGTCAGGAGCGTGGGTGTGTTTTTTTTTTGTATTGTATTTTTGTATGTTTTTTTTTTAAACAAGCAGTCAGTGTATGAAACAGGTGAGAAATTAAAACAATGCGACGGCCATCTGAGCAAAACGGTGCGAAGAGACTTGTTCAGGAATGAAAGGGGGAAAACGTTTGTGGGGATGCGGAGACTGTCAACTGCGCGCACCGTGACACAATATGGTGTCATTTGTCAGCTTGTCTGGTACGAATCACTGGCTGACAAAATCTCAAGGCATCAAACCAGCGCACCAAATCCCACATCGTGCGGCACACTCACTCGCAATCTTAATTGGTAACTCAATTGACTCGATATCCAACCATCCAGAACCATATACTAGTACACTTTTACCGCCTCTCGTGCGATGCGTATCGGCACACAACCAGGGCGCACTTAGTTGGACCGCTAGTGTCTGACCACTACGAGTGCCACTTATGGCCAACTTGTCTGACCTCAAGACTGATCTCAAGGAATAAATGCTCAAAGGCTGTATGGCAAGCGATTTGTGCATTTATTCGATACGCTCGCTAGTGCTAAATCCGCTTTCCATCAAGTGGAAAGAAGCGATGTCAGGAGACACAGTCGTTCAACTAGTGTACTAGGGCAAAGAGCATACTCGTGCATAGACCTGCGTCCATCTTAAGGTCATATTAGTATGGGGGGGGAAAACATTACTGGTAAGACACGGGTGTTCAACTAGTGCACTGAATCTTAATAGGGAGGACTAAAGAGTGTTTTATACAGTCAAACCTCGGTTTTCGAACGTCTCTGTTCTTGACCAAATTGGTTTTCGACCAAAAATTTCGATTTTTTTATGCCGAAGATGACGACCAAATTTCGGTACTCGAACAAACTGAGCGCACTTGAATGCGTCACTTGACTCCTCTCGCCTTCCTTACACGAGGAAGTGACGCTTCCTCGTGTCGCGTTCCATTGTAAACAGACGTGTTCAATAATTTTTTTTTTTTTTAGAGAGCATGGTTTCGGTTTTCGAACAGACTTCTGGAACGGATTATGGTCGAAAACAGAAGTATGACTGTACATTTCCAGCCATTTGAGCATTAATTCAGTATCACTGAGATCCAGTTTACGGTTGTGCTAACCCAAAAGCGGTACTAGTATTTTGATTGTTATTGTTTTGGGTTTTTGTTTTTTTTTTTTACTAATGCTGCCATCCACTGCTGGTTGTGTGTCAGTAATGTTGTTTCCAAGCTTGACATTTAGAGGAGCAGCCCCCCCCATCAACATCATTGACAAGTCTACCCGTCAATGGCAGCGAACGAAATGCTCCAATGGCTGAAAGGTCCAGGTACTAGCACACTCTTTTGTCTTTTTCACAGAACTAAGTTACTTGATGTGACTTGGGAGTACTTTGCAGCGTGCAGGTCTCAATGATCTTTGATATTACATAAATGCAGCTCAAGTGTGAGCCTTGATTCAATATCCTACTAGTGCGCCAAATTGAAAAAGCGTACTAGGCCCGTTTTTCAATGAATCCTCAAACGGCTTTTGCTATAAAGCCGTTCGAGCATTTAACTCATTCACTCCCAAAGACGTTTTTAAACGTCTTTTCAGACTTGATCCAGAATTGGCTGGTACTGAATGAGTTAATAGATAGCCTTTCATCTTAAGGAGCGTGGACTTACTAGTAAGCGCTATGTTCTCACGAGAAGGACAACTCCTGTGTCACGAGTCGGGCAAAACGGCACGAGCTGACATGGGACTCAATGTTAACTAGCTTGCTAAATGTGAACGGCTTGCCATATGGATCTAAAACTGCGAGTGAGACGCAGGGTGCTGAGTGGGCTTGGAAAAGTTGGTGCACGTGTAAGTCAGGGCCAGTACTGTCAACGTCTTCTACGAGACCCCTTTGGCGTTGTGCAAATTCATGATCAAACGTGTGCACCGTTACCGCATTTGAGTCAAAGGTTCAAGGTGTGCCGTCACCCATGCAAAACAAATTCTTCCTTTCCTACCGTCTCAGCATTTATTCAATATCCTTGATATCCAAACTTCAGGCCCACGTATGCGCTTTGTCCTCACTAGTAGCACGACTAAATGTTCCCAGTCAGGCAAAACTGTGCACTAGTTCGACATCTATTATACCAATACTAGTAGTACTCGTTAAGAAGTAGATGTTAACAAAGTCGATTTTCAAAGCGATTCGACAGCCAACGTGGACCCGGAGCCCGATATGAAGGATGTCGTATAAATGGACCGCTTTCCGTTGTCACCCGCGCTCAGTTACTCTGCGTGAAAGGGGCGGAGGCGCTGTTGGCACTTGCAGTGGTGGCACTAACTATGGAGAAGCCGGCGGGTGGCGCGGTGGAGCTGTGGCTGGGCTGCAGGTCGTTGGGGATGCCGCTGTGTGAGGCCAACTGGTGACCGAAGGCCGCGCTAAACTGCGGGAGCTGCTGCTTGGGCTGCATGGAGGTCAGGGGGTCATGCGGGGACGAAGAAGGGGGCGCCGGGGGTGCGGTCAAGCCCGTCAGGCCGCTATGAGGCAGGGCCGAGAGCGCGGCCAGAGGCTGCAGCGTCACAGAGTTGACGGAGTGGCTGCCGGCCGGGGGGGTGGACAGCGACGTGGAGATGAGATGACTTTCCGACGCCATGAGATTCCCGAACTGCGCCGGGTCGGCGAGGGGCAGGGGGAGATTGTTCCAAGATGAGCGGGGGGGTTCCAGCAGGAGGGGGGCGTCTGTCTGGAAGGGGCCGGCGTGGGGCGAGGGGATTTGGTCGCTGTACGGCGATGCCACGTGCTCGCCGCTAAAGCAGCCGCCTTGGGGAGACGACGTCACCGCTCCATCAGATTTGGCCAGAATGTGAGCGGGGGGCCGCGAGCGGGCGAACGTCCGCTCGGGGGCCTGAGTGAGCAGGGAGCCGGTCGGGGGGGCCACCGAAGTGGCAGATGACGTTTGGGGCAGGTCCGTGGGTTGAGATGGCGGGGAAGGGGGGAAATGGCCCGCGGCGGACTGCAGGATGTTGTCCTCCAGCTCCAGGCTAGGAAAGTTCTCCGTCGAGAGGCGACTGTGGAGGATGTCCCCCATGGCCCCCGGCTGGACTGCACCGGGAAAGACGGTCAAGGCTCGGTGGTCCACTCCCTCTGACGGGGCCAGGTCTCCGATGGAGGTCAGGCACACTAGGGAGTCCGGGTAGGACCCCAAGGCTTGCAGGGTGCGCACCAGCTCCTCGGCCTCTTCCGTGGTGGGCAGCAACTCGCCGTTCTTGCCTGCGCGACAAACTTATTCCAATTAACGGAAACTAACAAACTGAAACTACATTTTACGGTGACAAAACTAAAATGAGCTATACTTTGTTTTCCTTTGTGGCAGTTCATTTCATTTGTGAGTCTTAAGAATTGATTTCAAATGTATTCATTGAAATCAATTTCAGTTATTAGCGCATGGCTGTCTGGGAGATGTTTTTTTTTTTTTTTTTTTTTTTACTGTGTGTCGCCTAGAAATTACGTCATGTGGTGGCACGTACTGCAACAAGGCCTTGTTGGTGATCTTGAGTCCACCACACGCTCTTTTGAGTGGAAAACATTTTTACGTGAGTGCTTACACTCTCGTTGAAAATGTTTTCCACTTCACGTTTGGTGTCTCTCACACTTTTAAAAAATGGTTTCTTTGTCTACGTTAAGACGAAACGTGAACGTGTCAGGGCACCTTCAAACAAGTCAAAATCCTGAAGATCATCAGGTAGTCTCGGCAGAACATCCGAAAAATCCTCCTGGTTCAGCTCGAGGTCATTTGGAATGTCTTCCATTTCGTTGGTGATGTCGTCGGGAAGTTCATCTGTGCTCAGTTCTGGAGTCGAGGGACTCCTGTCCGAAAAAAAAAAAAGATGACAGTGTTACAAACCGATGTGAACCGCAGAGTGGGATGTTTTGGGCTCACACGGACCTGATGCTGGCCTGGGAGGACAGAGCGAGGTTCATAGCCGGCATTCCCAAGTACCCCTGAGGCAAGGCGGGAGGAACGGGTTTCTGAGGCCGCCGCGGCACTCGCCTCTTCTTCTTGTGTTTTTTGGTGAGTGCCGCTGGTTTGGTCTTTTTGCGCGGCTTACGCTGGTGCTGTTGCTGGTGATGGTGGTGGTGGTGTTGGTGTTGGTGGTGGTGCACTCGCCGATTGCCATCCCCGCGGAGGAAGTTATCCTGCATAGAACGTACAGGAGACCCGACAGTAAATAGGATACCGTCACCATCCGGGGGAAGACGATATTGGACATCATACACACCATCTTTTTGGCATGCTCTTCACAGAGTGGTGTCTGATGCGTGATATCGAACACAGGAATGGAGCACTGCTGACCATCTGCGAACTTGGCGGTGCAGCTTGCAAACAGCTGCTGGGAGCGATTCAACAGAATGTCTTCATCAAACAATTAAGGAAGAAAAAGAAGCCCCGGATGGAGAGCTTGCGGTGAGAATACTAACGGCATAGAATGTGCAGCTGAACTGGCTGGAACTGCATTTGTGACCCGAGGGATGAACTAAATCCCAGCAACTGGGCCGCATTTACTGAAGGTTTGACGGTGCAAAAAAAAAAAAAAAGGGCACAAACCTGATTGAGCACGCAAACAGATGTGGAAGCGAATCAAGGTTTCACAAGAAACAATTTGAATTGGAAAAGCAGTTTTGAAGAAGATGCATGTGCATGGCATCCAATTGTTCCAATCTAAAATTCACCGATTTTTGAATCATATCGCCATATATTGAGACGCGTGTCAAATCGTCTTTTATTGGTGATATATTTATAAGTGTGTGTGTGTGTGTGTCTATATATATATATATATATATATATATATAAAATGTGTGTGTGTGTGTTCTTTTTTTGTTTTGTTAAAAAATACACGGAAAAAAATAATTGCATATTAAATCGCAGGGGCAAAAACTGGAACTAGATAATTTTTCTCAATCGTTAAGCCCTTAAGAAAACCATCAACACTACTTAAACTGCAAAACGCCTGGCAGCCCAAGTACAATAATGGACCTTTGACGTCTGTAGCCGTCAATGGCAGTGAATGAGTTAAGTACAGTGATCTCACCTGTTTCCAATCGCATGGCAGTCTTAAATTATACGCAACATTCCCCCCAACCCGTCCCGCGACTCCTTTGATGTACGTAGAGTGAACATGCAGTTTGGCACTCATTTTTGGGATTGTGGTAAATCAGGTTTTAGATGTTCAAAGGATACGCTGAAAACAGTGTTTGGTGAAGGGCAGCGCTTTGTTGTCGCAGGCCTGGCCTTTTGTGCTGCCTGTACATGTCCCCGCGTCTGTTTTCTGCTGTCCCGCAGGTGCCCCGCCGTGATGAAGTTCCGATCCGGCACTAGGCAAGTAGACAAGAAATCTGTTTAGTTGGTTGAAAAGTCGCGTTTTTAATAGTGGGCCCTTGAGACTTACCTTGAAGGGCTTTGAAAGGAACCACGTAATTCCTGGATGAGCTGCCCGGCACAGTCTGGGTTCTTAGTGGCGGCGTGCACCAAGGCTTTGCGGAAGGCGTAGCGGTACCTCTTCTGGCGGATACTCGCCCTTTCCTGCCTGCACATGTGCTTGTACTTTTGCTCCAGGTACGAGCAAAGCCTCAGCAGTCGCGTTCTCCGCGAGGAGCCAGCGTCATCCTCCAACCTATTTCAGGATGAGACCGTCGCTGCCGTGAAAAAAAGTCAGGTGGATTCCTGTGTCGAGCGTTGATGTTGAGTTACCGACCCATTCTGCGGTCTCCAAGTGCTCAGGCCAGGAACAAATCTCTCTGCTTCAACTTCTTCATCCTCATCGTCATTATCAGCGCTGTCCTCCGACCAGTCCAGGCCTGCAAGAAAATCTGTCAGAAAAAGGCCCATCCGTCTCACCTCGCTGAAATCTTTTAATCTCTTTAAATTCACCGAATACATTAACGGCACACCTTAAATTGGCACTTTTAAAGGTTATTGTGCATTTTAGAATCATCCTGAAATTTCACCCAACGGCCATATATAGTTGCGCATCTTAACATTTGGTGGTAAATGAATATGAGCGAAGCACCTAAATGAGGAAACAGGTCTCCATATTCCCGATGTCTCTTGGCACAGAGCTGGACCAGATGCTGCAACCTGGCCAGGCAGTGGGGTGGCGGTGAGTAGGAGGCAGGTCGCATGACTACCATGTGATTGGAAGCAAAAGGTGTTTTCCTGCTGAGCGACGGCCCCGGTGGCTGCGCGGGACTGCCTGATGCATTGACGGCGATCCCAGGAGACATGAAGTTGACCGTCTGAGGTGGTGCTGGATTGCATAATAGACCCTGCTGAGAGGGCGGCTGGACAAGACCTGATTGCTGCCGTGGGGGGTGAGTGTTGAGCGGCGACGATGGGTGGACGCGGGCGATGAGGGAGGGGCTAAAGTGCTCAGAAGGGGTCTGGAAACGGTCCGCGTCCTGGCAGATTTTCTGGTTCAGCACCAGCCGACTCTGCAATTTCTTCTTGATGGCGTTGCTTTTCCGAGGAGGACCCATCTCCTCCCCATCTGTGTCGTCCTCGTAGAAGGTAAACGGATCCAGGAATTCCCCATCGGGAAGGGCGAGCAGGCGCGTACAGGGTGGCGATGGTGGAAGTTCGTTCAGACCGTTGGAAGCTAAAGGTAAAGAGGGCACCGTTATGTTGAGGGCCACTGACTCCAAGTGAGCCCGCGATCGCATCTCCTCCAAAGCATCGTGCTTCTTCTTGCGTTCCTTCTTGGGGATGAAGCCAAGTACCTGCAGGTGGCTGTTGCAGTACCTGGAACAACAGTCAGAATTCCTTTAAGTGCACACGTGTACTACAGGGTTCATCTCCATCGCAGGAAATCCCCGCCATATGGCAGGAAATCGGCGGTTTAAAGCGATCGGAAAATGTTTTTTTTTTTTCTCTACATTGTCACCAATCGCATGTGAGTTTGCAACGTATCATCCACAACTGCACTATATCATTCAGTACAATTTAAATCCGGATTCGGAACACTAGAGTTGACCCACCTGCGATCTTCTGACTTTGGGATGGGGTTGGTACACCGCTGGCTGTTATACTTGGCCACATATTCGCACTGCTTGAAGGGGGCGGTCTTGTCTTCCAGAACGTGCCGTATGCAGAAAGCGTAGCCATTGAGTCTGCGTTGCTTGCAGAGCTTCGGGCTGTACGAGCACAAGGGCTTATTGTCCACCTCTGAGAAATGTATGTGTTTGCCTTCATACATCACGTGACTCTTGTCCTTGACAACATCAGCTGATAGGATAAAGTCGGGGTAGAAAAGCAACAATGACATCATTAACACTTGTTGTGTGTATAATCACATGTGCATATTCAGAGCATAGACAATTGATTGTTTGGTTCATTGCTAGAACAATTCAGCCCACTATTAGAATAGCTCGGACGCAATAATATAAATGATGGTGTCTTTCTTGCAAATACCGGTAGCCCCCCCCCCCCACTGTATGACATTTCTTCACACGAGTAGGGCAGCTTTGGCATACTTGTAGTAGGACAACTGCATGTTATAGTAGTAAGAGACTGTAATTCTTCAAATACAGTATGTCCTTACTGTTCTACTGGTGCTGTGAATTGTCACCTTAGGGAGGCCTGAGATTTAAGTAGTACATGGACTCTTGGCTGGATTATCAAATAAATGCCCAAACAGTATTACAATTATTTAGTTACTACATGATTGTATAATAAATACATTATAACGGTGGAAATAGGTTTAAGAAACAATCCTGCAAACGCCTTAGCCATTTATAAGTAACCCTGTCCGCAAGTCCACACTTGAGTTATTGTTTAAAAAAAAAAAAAAAAAAAGAAAAATAATCGTCCTAGTGTCAATTGAAATCAAGTCTGTCAACAGTCGCCTTTATGGACACACGGACATTTACACACACATATACACTAATAGGCCTGTGTGCAGTTTTAAGAAATGCTTTTCGAAGGTTCGTGTAAAGACGAAGCTTCAGGTCACTTATCATAAGCGCAACCCATGTACCTTATTAGCCGCTATCATTGACTTTAAGGGGTTCGAGTTGGTATTACGGGCGCCACTGTGCCTCCGATACCCAAAGCGTGCACATAGCACAAATTTTTAGGGTATTAAAATAAATGTAGTTAAAAATTAGATTACTGTTAAATAAATATCAATAATTATAGAGGCAACCAATGAGGATGTGCTGGTTTGTTGCAGAGGAAAAATAACAGAAATGTCTGTCGGACGGAGCTAGCGTGTCAATATTAGCATGTTGTCCGATGAGCAGTTTTCTAACTTTATTTGCCTCGTAACTAAACGCGAAGGGTACATTGTATTTAATCATTAGCAGGTTAACTATTTTGGTTCGCGTATTTTGATTTATTTAGTTTTTTTTTACCTCTCAGCTGCTACGAAAGTGAAAACATTCGCTAGCTAGCTAGCTAGCTAAGGAAGCTAAAAACACGAATTAGTAGGCGGTAGCTAACCAGGAAACGGAAACCTCTAAAAATGGCGACAACACGATGGATCCCTCTATTTGTAATCTAAACAGTGAATGCAACATACGCACGATAAATATTTTAACGAAATAAATGTAGTTCTGTGCACGTTAACACTTTAACTACCAACACGTTCAAACAAAAGGGTTTCACGTAAGCTAAGGCCTGTCCTCGATCGGCTTCCGTTCAAAAAATAAGGGTAATAGTGGTTGGTAGCGTTTTTTAATAAGACGTAAGGCAACTTTCACATTTATATCTAAACTCTTCTGAGCGTTGTGATCGAAAAGGTCGATGTTCAACTATCGGAAGAAGTAAAGAGAGCGGAAGTGGCCCGTTAGCTTCAACAGGCACCGGCCTTGAGTAGTTGTCGCCTCCCCGACTAAAGGCCGCGCGAAACGCTGTGGTCTTAAATTGAGGGCGAGGATTCGCTTACCTTGAATTGGTACGGGCCGTTGAACGGTATTCGCTCCAGATAGACGGCCGAAATGTCAAATACGATCCGCTAGGCTATTCGCGCATCGATGTCCCGAGATAGATTAACAATAATAGTGATCTTCATCGAGCTCGGCGCTACTCGATTTTCGGATGGATATAAAATAAGCACTCGATCAAATTTTAAGCAGTAGGTAGGCTGCTAAGGATTTTGTCAGATCCACGGCAGACTCCCTCACAGCACCACTACAGGCACTGCGGGGACATGACAACAACCCGCTCGACAACAACAACCTCTCCAACCATATTGGAAATTCAACTTTGTTAAGAGCGCCCACAGTGCCGAAGTGCAACAAAAAGTGTGACAGTGCCGTTGCCATGTTCTACGTTTAGGGCACATATATGGCGAGAGGTCCGAGTGGAGTCGTTTGAGTGACAAATCCACGTAAACGCGGCTATTTCATCTCGATGTGTCTGTGTGTAATGTGCCCTACTGCACTGCCACTCTCACCCACTGTTCACTCACGATGGACCACGTGTCAGGTACCAAAACACCAACTCCTGCTCCATCCTTTGCACCCCAGCATCACCCAAGACATTTTGCAACTTTCTTTAAAAAAACTGCAAGACTGAAATTTGTTTCTGCAATAATTCACTGGGCTCACTACTTAAAATTAGTTTTAATGCATACATATATATAGTGTAAATCTCAATGGATGTGGAAGAATGTCAACACTATTATTTACGTGTGCAAAATGTATTTGTATCCATCTTTGGTCAGACCACAAAATAAAATGTATGCAAACAGGTGTGCTTTGCTGTCAAGGAAGTTTCTGCTTCTTATTACAGTAATTACACAGTTTACACCACTGCTAACCAATCCTTTAGAACCGGCTAACCAATCCTTTAGAACCCGAGCTGCTTCTTACTGTAGTTCAGATGAAAGTGAGGGCTACCAGTTTGATACACACTTCTGAAATAAGACAATACTTTTTTGATCCGTCGAGCAAAATTCGGTTTATTGTTGACATGCTCTCACACACACACACACACACACACACACACACACACACACACACACACACACACACACACACACAAAAATCCAGAAAACTTTGTAGTGGGGCAAAATAGCAACAATAGATACCTTAAAATAATAATTTATAATTTATTTTCCATGTTTTAAGTTACGTGCCATTAGAGTAAATGGCGTCCAGGATAAAAAAAATCACCAAATGCCTTTTTCTCTCGTTTCGCGTCATCATTCGTGAAACCAGGAAGTAGCCTTCTAGCTACCTAACAAATAAATCATGTCACCAAATGGTACCGTTGCATTCACTTTGCTCTGATACAGTTCACATCAAGTCAATACAGTTGTGAACGCACCCCCGCCCCCTAGTCTTGATCTGCAGACCACCAATGATACCAAACACAACAAGGTGTTTTGGTCTTGCCTGCGCCTGCAAGAGAAGATAAAAACCCACAATCCAAAGAGTGACGCCTCCACTTTGGTGATAACATTCACCAAAGCCTCTCAAAAAAAAAATGTAAAAAATGTGACACGGGGCTTACTGATGCAATCGCTTGCAGGACTTTTGGTGATTCACCGAAGTGGTTGGAGGTGCTGCCTTGGTTCGCTTCTTTCGAACATGGGCCTCTTTGCATCCTGTTGTGAAGCCAACTACCACTGAGATGTCTGTTATAAACATTTCCCACGTATCGTTCTTGTCTCGCACTGTCACTGTTAAATGTTTTTACAATCGATTACTCTGATGATGATTCCAACAATGCATCAAATTGTCTAATAAAGGATTTAGCGTTCAAGTTGACTGCAAAAGCGTTTTATGTGCAGATTACTGTTTATTAACCGATTATTGGTGTTATTTGGTATGGTTACGTGATTGAACCAAACCAAATAAGGAACAATTAAGCAATCACTAAAGAGAGGGTTTGACGTTGTACTTTGCAACATTTTTGAAACACAGATGTCCTTCTTGGGAACCGATTCAGACAAATGATTCATACTACGGCTACAAATACCTATTATTTTCTGAATGGATTAAACGTAATCTTTTTTCCCCCCATTATTTGATTATGATTCAGTTCCTGATACACACACACACACACACACACACACACACACACACAAAAATCCAGAAAACTTTGTAGTGGGGCAAAATAGCAACAATAGATACCTTAAAATAATAATTTATAATTTATTTTCCATGTTTTAAGTTACGTGCCATTAGAGTAAATGGCGTCCAGGATAAAAAAAATCACCAAATGCCTTTTTCTCTCGTTTCGCGTCATCATTCGTGAAACCAGGAAGTAGCCTTCTAGCTACCTAACAAATAAATCATGTCACCAAATGGTACCGTTGCATTCACTTTGCTCTGATACAGTTCACATCAAGTCAATACAGTTGTGAACGCACCCCCGCCCCCTAGTCTTGATCTGCAGACCACCAATGATACCAAACACAACAGGGTGTTTTGGTCTTGCCTGCGCCTGCAAGAGAAGATAAAAACCCACAATCCAAAGAGTGACGCCTCCACTTTGGTGATAACATTCACCAAAGCCTCTCAAAAAAAAAATGTAAAAAATGTGACACGGGGCTTACTGATGCAATCGCTTGCAGGACTTTTGGTGATTCACCGAAGTGGTTGGAGGTGCTGCCTTGGTTCGCTTCTTTCGAACATGGGCCTCTTTGCATCCTGTTGTGAAGCCAACTACCACTGAGATGTCTGTTATAAACATTTCCCACGTATCGTTCTTGTCTCGCACTGTCACTGTTAAATGTTTTTACAATCGATTACTCTGATGATGATTCCAACAATGCATCAAATTGTCTAATAAAGGATTTAGCGTTCAAGTTGACTGCAAAAGCGTTTTATGTGCAGATTACTGTTTATTAACCGATTATTGGTGTTATTTGGTATGGTTACGTGATTGAACCAAACCAAATAAGGAACAATTAAGCAATCACTAAAGAGAGGGTTTGACGTTGTACTTTGCAACATTTTTGAAACACAGATGTCCTTCTTGGGAACCGATTCAGACAAATGATTCATACTACGGCTACAAATACCTATTATTTTCTGAATGGATTAAACGTAATCTTTTTTCCCCCCATTATTTGATTATGATTCAGTTCCTGATTTGCTCCATAACATGTCACAAAATGGGGAAAATGTTGATCGTTTTTTTTCCCCCAAAGAAAAGCGGATGATAGCTTGGTTTGTAAATGATGGCCCTTCAGGCTAAATCAATTCTCAAAATAATTTTCTATTAATTTGATGATGGGTGCGTTGTTGATTAGTTGATTCATTTTGGCATCTCTCTGTCTTTCTGATCCATGTATTGAGTCGAGGAGCCAAAGAAAGGATGAGTACCAACCGGAAGCAAGGTCAGCTGGTTCAGTTCCATCAATCCCAGTAGTGAAGACTACAGGAAAAATGCAGTTCAGCGCCCCCCAAAAACGAAAGGATCGGCGTAAGTTCTCTTCAAGTATGCTTTGAATCAGTCTTCATATGGTGCAGCAACTCGGTGAGCTTCAATTCCACTGCAAGTGTAAAACCGACGCTATTTAGGACACGCTTGATTAAACGATCACCCGCTGTTTCACGATTGACAGCATACTGCGCCTGCAACTGGAGCCAGCACATCTTGCCCAGGTTGTCAGTTTCCGACTGCCCGGACTCATTTTTCACCGACGGCTGGGTGAGCCTTTGTCGCTTCAGGATATCAGAAACAAATCGGTAAGAATTTGTATTATTTCAATCATCCCATGCAACATTTACGAAAGAACATAAAAAGGAAACCTGGCTTTGTTCGAGATCCGCTCCTCATTGATATCTTCTTTTAGGTGCAGAAGGATGTCCACACCATTAGCGAAGTTCCTTCTTCCTGGAGAGGAAAAAGTAGAAACTCAGTGGCCAAAGCAGGTAAATCAAAATCTCAACTAGAGTAGAACTCAGAAAAGTGATCTCCCAAGTCCAAGGAATGAACACATCCGGTTTGCAACTGGGCATGACGCAGATCATTAACATTCCCAGACAATGCCGACATGAACATCTTCCACTCGGTCCTGTAATCTCACTGGTAAAAAAAAAAAATACAGTGGGGAAAAAAAAAAAAGCCCTTGCAAGAGACGCAACAAATAGGCACTTGTGACATTTTGTAACAACGGATGGGTCTTTGGGGAAGCAAAAGTGTGGTGTCTGCAGCCATACATGTTCAAAATACACCCCCCCTCCCCCAAAAAAAACAACGAAATAAGCAGGCTAGAATCTAATGCTGGATAAACACTGCAGGTCCAAGTTCCCAATTCCAATAGAATGACTGTGTTTCCATGTGCAAACATCCAAATTGCTCCTTATAACTTCACAAGCATCAATAGTTGGGAGTCATGAAACTAAAGTCACATATCATTGAATAAATCTCCCCATTGTTTTAAATGAGGGTAACTTGAGTATTTATTCTCCGGCTGTACCGTCTGAAATTATTTTGCTTATTGAACAACCTTGACATCTATAATGCATTTTGTCAGATTTTATTGTCAGATTTCTCAAACGTCAGATTGACCTGAAGTCAAACGATGTCATGCATTTACTGTTTCTTATTTGAGTCCAATTGGGCCACTTGACCCATAACATCTGAATTGTGTCACATAAATCATAGCATGTAAATCGATCCTACGATAAAAGAAAAATCTCTAAATTCTAATCATGCGTGTCCACAAACTCCTCATGAGGGTTCCACAAACTCCTCATGAGGGTTCCGGGCTGCTTCTGTCGCCTGAAGTCTTGCGGGTCCAGCACATTCCAATGCAATATTACTATCGTGATCATATAAATTGTGATCATCTGTCAGCAGCCTCACGGCTTGTTTTGTGTTGAGAAGCCAATGGTGTTCATTACAAATGACATGGCACCAAAATGAGGTGGCTGGCTAGTGTGCAATCCCTTCGTGGGGAAAAAAAAAACAAAGTGACAAGGGCTTCATAATATTCCCCATTTTGCACACCGCACACAAAGTGGGTCAGTCATGGAGCACAAAGACGGTCATTGTCGCTAACAAACTCAATTAGTGAGTTTATGAAGTGGCATACTGTTAGCATTGTTTGCTGCAGTCGAGCCGCCTTTGATTGATGAAAAAAAACTGCTGGCAGGGCTCACTACGGGCGACCGTGCTGAAAGCGGCAGTAGTGCATCGCAAGATAAATAGTATCACCGGCAGTATCTTCTGAACATGACGGCCATCTGACTTACATATTGTGCCTTCAATATCGGTACTCATTATCGCAGACGTCTTATAAGCCACACACGAGGCGACCTTCAACCAGATGCTAACTTTATTCAACGTTGACGGTGTGTTACTTGACCGTTGAAATATCTTGACGGGGTTCAAACGCCCTCAAGTATACGAATGATATTTATTGTGTCCACTCATTTTCGAGCACTTACCTCGTCAGCAACTGCTTACGACACTGATAACGAACTATTCGACTCGGCTGCGTCACAACGAACCAAGTGCCTCACAGGTCGGGAATGTTCCATTTCTTGTACCGTCCCAATCGATTCAAACGAAAAGCATTTCGTATGACGTCGCCATGAGTAATATTGTTCCATGCCGCGTATTTATAAGGAATTTCCCAATTTCTTAATCGTCCCCAAATTCTGACAGTTTTTAGAAGTCTTCATTTACCATCATAAAATTCCCATACGAATGAAAGATTTCGAATGTTGCTGGGAAATGTTGAACACGTTGAAATTTGAAATGAGGTAGGTTTGAATTGGGTAAGAAATGGTCAATTCGAGGAGTATTTGTAGAATTCTGCCATGAATTTGGTCATTAATGCGTGGAAAAGATTGACTTTTTTTTATTCATAATTTTTTTTTACAACATTGGCAACAATTTTGATGAAACATTATGAATTTGTGGTGTATTTGTATAATTTCTTAATATTGGAAGTTTTTCAAGATGGGGTTCGCCCAAAAGTGACTTCTGGGGGTGGAATGTTCAATATTTTGAAGTTTGGATTTTAATTGATTGAAAAATTGTGAATTTTAGGTGAATTAAAATAAAATGCTCAACTCATCATTGTTTTTTTTTCTTGTGTAAGATGTATAATTAAATTAAAAAATGGAAATCTGTGAACAGGAGAATAATATAAATAGGACACAATTATCAAAAAATATTCCAGGAACTGAATGTTGTCTAGCTATTTGTTAAGTCAATATTAAATGTCAGAGTTCAGCAACGTGGGGTGGGGGGGGGGGGGTTACAGGAAATGACTGTGTTTTAACGCACCACAGCCTGTCGGGAAAGGAAGTACAAAAACAAAATGCACATCTGGACCAAAGTCATACTCCTCCTGTCTTAATAGCAGGCTGGAAAAGTGTCTGTCATTTTGTACAATAACAAAGGTTGAAAGCTTTAATGACATAACAGAGACACTGCTGAACAACATATATATATATATATATATATATATATAAGTCAAAACTACAGTAGAGCACATTTATTAAGGGCTATTTAGTTGGAATATATTAAGCGAAATATATCTGTCACATTTCTACATATCGTCCAGCAGCAAATATACACTTATACAGTTGTTATACATCTTTTGCATATCTGTATGTCATTCTATTCTCAATTGAACAAAATGAAATGTCTTAACATCTTTTTTTGTCAACTTTAAAATTCATTTCAAAAGTCGTGTTCAGGTTGCTCCGCAGAGTTCATGTAAACGCAGATGGTCAAAACATCTTTATGACCGATCAAATGAAATCATGTCAAGTTATTGTATTGTGTCTAGTGTTGGGGCGACACTGAAAAGAAAAAAAAACTACAAGAACAAAAAACAACTGTACTACAATAATAGTCACTCGATGAGACTAAAGTCTTACTGTCATAGGCGTAATGTAGTAATTTTACAAGAATAAAGTCGTAATATCACATGTGTGCAGTACGTATGGCTTGCTGAGGTCAAATTTGACCTCATTTTTAGTTTGTCAAACAATGAAATCAACAATCACTCATTTAAATGAAAACTTTTGTACCGTTGTTTTTTTGTTTTTCTTCACCATAGCCCTTTGTATGTTTATTCTCTGCGCCACTTTTGAAAAGTACATGGAAGGATACAGATTATTGCTGTGTAGTGTATGAAGTTTTGCATCTAATGTAGTTTTTGGTTGAAGATGTAGAGTGGATATAAAAAGTCTACACACCCCTGTTCAAATGTTATGTTTTTGTGATACAGAAAAACAAGACCATGATAAATCATCTCAAAACTTTTCCAACTATTTAAGTGACCTAAAAATTGTACAACACAATTGAATTAAAAAAAAAAATTGAAAGTGGAAGTAAAAATAAACAACTAAATGTTGTTGCACAAGTCTGCACACCCTGGGGTTGTTTTTCCTCGATTGAGCCTGGAGCATTAGTCAAGCTGGACAGAATTATAAACAGTTCAAAGTAAAAGTGGGAAAAGAAAACCAAAAACGGAACTGTTCCGTGTGTGCTGACTCCCATTTGACACGAGATGGATTCTGAACACAGTTCATTTTTACTTCCCCTCTCAAAAATATATTTTTTTAATTCAATTGTGTTGTACAGTTTTTAGGTCACATAAATAGTTGGAAAAATTTTGAGGTGATTTATTCCTTTTTTTAAAATTTTTTTTTTTAAATAAATATCACAAACACCTGGCATTTGAAATGGGGTGTGTAGACTTTTTATATCCATTGTACATCTCCCAATTACAGAGTTGATGAAGCCACAGGCTCCTCCGGTGTCCTGTTCTCGGCGTCGGGGGCTCCAGGCAACGATTCCATTTCGGTGGCTGACACGGACTGGCTGAGTTCTCTCAGCGAGCTTTTCGTGATGTCCAGACATGCACGCTTCAGGATGGTCCGAACTTTTTTACCCAGAAGCACGTAGAGCACTGGGTTAATGCAGCTATGGAAAAAGCCTAAACTGGTGGCCAGAGGAAATCCCATTTTCAACACGTTGTGCAGATAGAGTGAGGAATGTATGGACAGCTCCATCAGGCTAAAGATGTGGAAAGGAGCCCAGCATAAAAAGAAGGCCAGGATCATGGCGGAGACTGTTTTGGTGAAGCTCGACAGGCGAACGGAGCCCCAGGATTGATTCACCTTCAATGTCAGAAGGATGCCGGTGACACATATAGCGGAGAACGGCAAGAGGAAGCCCACTGTGGTCCGGATGGAGACCAGTAGAATATGTCTTGTGGCTGCCGACTGTCCATCCTGCGCGTGGAAGTTGTTGAAGCAAATCACTTTGTCATGTAAGCGCACCGTGTCCCGAAAGATGAGCGTGGGGCAGCTCATGATGGCGGCCGTGAGCCACACGCAAGCGCTGGTGAACCAGGCTCGGGCGACCGTTCGCCACCTCCGACACCAGTTTTGATGGACCAGCGAAACGTATCTGTCCACGCTGAGCGCCGTGAGGAACAAGACGCTCGCATACATGTTCATGACGGACACGAAAGAATTCATCTTACACATGGCCACGCCAAAATCCCAGTGGAAGTCGCGCAGGATGTAGTCAATGTAGAATGGGAGGAAGAGCACGAAGACAAAGTCGGCCAAGGCCAAATTGAGGAGCCAGACGCTGTTGACGGTCCTTTTGCTCTTACATCCCGTCACCCAAATGACAGTTGCGTTTCCAATCAGGCCGAGTACAAAGGAAATGACGTAAATGACGACGGAGATAATGTGAATTGCTTCTTTCTGCCTGTGGTCGACTTTCAGTTCTTCCATGTCACCATATTCCAGGTAGTAGTCATAGCTGTAGTTTCCGTAGTCCTCTCCGGAGTCGTCCATCGCTGCCTGAAGATTACCTGACAGGAGAACCTGATAGACACATTCGTCCTTTTAGGATTGCGCCAAGGATCATCCATATATAGTTCTGATGAACCTACCTGGTGATTTCTCGCCTCACAACTGTCTGTTCTCCAAAATGATCCGGGAATGGTAGCAACCCTTCATTCAGGTCCTGCGTTGAAGCGAATGTACTGGGTGTGTCCTGGATAAGCCTGGAACAGAATACGAACGTCCATTTGTCACAACATTGCGGAGAAGGCAGGAGGAACCACAAGTGGATGAATCATTCTCTTCTTGCATGGTTGAGGGACTTTTTTTGGAAGGGCAAACAGTAATAGTTGTGCAAGTTGCTTTTCCACTGCAATCATCAGTAAGCGGCAATCAGGGTGAAAAGTTGAAACCTTGCTCAGACGAACATTTGCACCAAGGTCACATGGCTTATACAGTGCTCTTAAATTTAAAAAAAGAAAAGAAAAAAAAAAGAAAGATGTTCGCTTTTTTTGTTGTGAATTCACTTCAAAGATGCCATTTTTTGTTTCAAAATAACCTTGCGTCTAGCTCCTCGAAGTTTAATGGCTTGTCAGTGGGGTAATACACTCAAAGCTCCTGCCTTTGTACTCTTGACACAAACACACCGCTGGCTTTTCAGCAGTGGAAAACTTACAAACACTTACCTAAGGAGCTCAATTATTACTTTGTAGCTCAGAGGTCACAGAATCTGATTATTCCTCTTCATAGTGTAATACATTACTGTTTTCATTGTGTCAACACCATTTTATTATGAATAATATACTTGGGCATTTGGTCCAAAACATACTGTGACTTGGGAATGTTTTGACATCATGATTACTGGAGTGAAACCTCAGCGGACAAACGAAATGCAGTCAATCATGTAAACTATATTTCAGAGTTGTTTTCTGGTATTCAAAACAAACCGAGCAAAGAATCTAATTTCTTCGATTATATGTCATTGATAAACAATGACCAAATCTAGCATTTGAGAATCCAGTTCGATGATTGATGGTGTCATCAAAACTAACGGGAAGTGAAATATTTGACATCTTTCATTTCAATGACTCATTCCCACATTGCATCAATGTCGTATTTAATACATAAAGTCGCTTACCATTCATAAAAGGCACAGTATATTGTTAGCTCGACATCACCGTGTCGATTTTGAGTTCTTACCTAGCACGGAAGCCGCACGTGAAGGATGATGATTAATTTTTACATCCCAAAGAGCGACAGTCGCCAGTTAAAAAAAAAAAAAAACGATGGTCGCCCTTGTCTGCCTGCCGCCTGAGCGAACCTCGTCCCTAAACGTCCCCCAACATGCCGACGCTCGTGTGCACTCTTTCCGCGAGTCCATCCAAACTAAACTTTGTCGGAGGCTTCTTTTTTTTTTTTTTTTTTTTGCGCGGAGATGTGTGCACTGGGCGCGCCCCCGGGACTGACGCGTCACACACGCACCGCGGAGGGCAACAAAGTTGTTATTGGTCGCCCGCGCGGATAAGAATGCGTTCATTCATTGGAGCTTTGGCTGCTTCTCACAGCCGCGACCCTCTCTCAATAAACACAGAGCAACTGAATGTTTGCAGAGTTTTTAAAATGTCATTCCCAAAACGCTGCGTGTGCGCCAAGTGCGCATAGAACTTCTTCTCATCGTCTTCTTCTTCGTCTCTTGATTTAATACCTTGACTTTCTTGGCGGCCTTTCAAATAAAAATGACATATGTTTGGCTGCATACTTATAAACTGAATTATAGGCGGAAAGCAGCCCAGAGTGCACCACAAAATATTTGCTTTCTAATGTCAAATGTTAAATTCGTTCCGCCTCGATATATATTATTTTAGTAGCTTTCATTTTTCATAATACACTTTTCAATGCGCATATTAACGATCCACGATCCTAATCCAGCAACAAAGGGTTTAAGGCAGGAGCGTCAAACTCATTTTAGTCGCCGGCCAATTTGGAGTTGCGTCTTCCCTCGGAGCGTCGTTATGACAGCGAAGCCACAAAATGATTACTTGTACACCACAAATGAATAGATTACTCGTTTTGAAATCAGTAAAGTCAGTTATAATAGTTTTTTCAATTATTGTTCAAGTGAGCGTAAACAGGGTTACAAAATTATTGCAAAATGTCAACATTATTTATGACACATGACAACTTAACATTTCAATACAGATTTTAGCAAGTTGACACACATGATTTGCTTTCGCGGGCCACATAAAATTATATGGCGGGCCGGATCTGGCCCACGGGCCTTGAATTTGATACTTATGGTTTAAAGCAAACAATAAAATAACGACATAATGTGCTTGCCCCGCCTTCCAAAACCAATTCGCTCAAAATTATGTAATATTATTGAGGTAAAAACTTTGGAGTATTGGGCAGTATAAGGCAAAGATTAAGTGCAACTAAACCACATATGTCATCTAGTGGTGATTGGTGGCATTACAAGTTAAAACCACAGTCAATACCTTCATGATGAGGCTTCAACACCCACGGATTCACATATTTCAGAATTTATTTATTTTTCTTTTCTCAATATTTTGGTGGGGGTTTTTTTTCATTTTTTTCCAGGATTTCCCCCATTATCTAGCCCCTGTTCCTCACTTTAAAAAAAAAAAAATCATTGGTACTGCCCATACCTGATGTATGGTATACTATTTTAAAAAATATGGATAAAACAAACCTTTAATGTGCTGTTTATTTTTGCCAAAAGAATCACATTGTACTGTTACACAATTACTTATTGGGGGGGGGGGGATACGGTACGCCCTGAAAATGGTTGCCCGGTCATTGCAGGACACAAATAGACAAACGGCCTTCTACACTCACTCCTATGCCAATTGAAGTCTTGAATGAATTTCATCGTCGTGTTTTGGGAACAGAGGAGTGAGCTCAGAGAAATCAACGCAAGCACAGGCAGAACACAAACTCTACACGGGAAGGCAGGCGTCGAGACTTGAAAAGAGAACCGCACAACTGGAAGGCAATTTACCCACTCGGACACTGTGCTGTTGCATCACTTTCTTTTCCTGCCGATACCAATCTTCAAATTAATACAGAGCTAAGATTAAATTGTAAAATGAAAATGTATACAGGACATGGTTGCATGGTGGGCGAGTAGTTAGCGCTCACCTGCAGTGTAAATGCAGCCAAGTGTCAAATTAAGCTGTCGGCGTTGTGTGTGCGACTGACCCATAGGGGGCATGCATCAAGTCAGTGTTTGCATAATGGGATTGCAATTATGCTTTGATTTCTATATTGTTTTCATGTCTTGGGGGTTTTGACGGGCAGCAAGGTGGATTTATGATTAGTACGTCTGCCTCACAGTTCTGAGGATTTGAATTTCGGCTCTGGCCTTCCTGTGTGGAGTTTGCATTGTTCTCCCTGTCTTTGTGTGAGCTTCCCCCTCTGTCTTCCACCCACATTCCCGAAATATCCCTGTTAAATTACTTGAAAGCTCCAAATTGTCCATGAATGTGAGTGAGAATGTTTTTTTTTTTTTTTGGTCTACATATGCCCTGCGACTGGCTGGCGGATTAGTCCAGAGTGTACCTCAAGAGGGGGGGGGGTTCAAGGACCCAACAGATCCAGCAGCAGGCACCGTTTTGATTTCTTTCCAATATTAATTTCACGTTTAATACACAGTTGCAAAATGTGTACAGGTAAATTGGCATTGGTAATGTTTTTACCGGCCTTTGGGGAAGTTATGACTCAGCCTCATTGAACTGATCTTGGCGTCCAGTGTTTTTGCACAAACAAGCAAATCGGCGCATCTGCTGTCACTGGTATAAATGGCTGAAATGTGATTTCACTTGTGAGCGGCTGTGGAGAAATACCAAATGAGAAAACTCACACAAAGAGCTGCTGTGGGCCACAACTTACGTCCAGATGCTCACACTGGCCAGGTCAGCTCCTTGTGTCACTCACAAGGCCACGCCCCTGAAAGGCACACATCCAATACACGAATACGGATGTGCAGTATACAATAACAATTTATAAAACCAGTTTAGTTCTCAAATTCTGTATGCCGTTTGTTTTATTTACAGTGCTAATTACAATTTTCGTCACTAATCACCATTTATACGGTGGCAAAGGCGTTTGTTGTTGTTTTTTTTCCCACATGTGGGCATTTTCGACTTCCCAATGACATCGAGGGAGAGACTTGAGCGGCTCTCACCTTTATTTCCAGATCACCCATTCGTCCTTCATTGAATCATTCTGTGCAACCACTTCCTGTCTCCGGGTTGTCCTCGTGTGTGCCCCTGCAGGACTTGTTCGTGCATCATCGAGGAGGAGTCTGCCGATGGACTTCCAGTAGCTGCTCGGCCGCCGCCTTCTTCGCACTCTTCTCCTCCCCCCCTCCTCCTCCTCCTCTTCTTCCTCCCCTCGCCATCATCATCATCATCACCATCATCTGCAGCAGCAGTCCAGTGCCTCCCGGACCCGAAAGCGCCCCCCCACACCCCACCCCACACCTCCTCATCGGTCTGATCATCGGCACCTCCCTGCCCGCCACGATGGGCTGCAAGCGCCACGCTACCTCGTTGTGTTGATATCGAGATATTTCAATCATCAAATATGAATCATGCGTTTGATATTTCTGGACACTTTGCTCGCCAGCATCCTCGCGCTCTGGCTTCACGCATCACCGGCGTCATCCGGTACGTAGCGCTGTATTTTGATTTTGCTTTTCGTGGAATCATTTGCATCCCCTGCGATTTCTCGATCGGTATTCTAAGCGGCTTGTTGCTAATTAAGAAGGGACGGTTGTGTCTTTGTGCTGCGACTTTAACGTGCTGCTGTAGGGCAGACTAAAACATGCCAGCTGTGTTCTCTGTGCTAAATCGCAACCGCAGGTGAATTAAAAATATATACAGTACACGCAAATTAAGGAGGGGTTCTGATCCTGACTGCATGATACCGACTGTCTATTTGAAGCTGAGTGACAGGAATTGTGATTGGGGACTTTTGAAAATACAGTATACGTCCAAAGTGAAACGAATCATATATTGCCGCAAAAGTCATCTCACTGGGAATTTTGGCTGCAAGTCTACTGCTTCTTCTTGGAAAAAAAAAGTGTTGCAATGACACTCTGACCCTTTGGCCAGTGTGTGTTGATGACTCGAGGCTCGAGGTTGACAGCTGGCTCAGGTGTGTGTATGTGCGCATCCATGCGATTCTCTCGCAGCTTCTCACAGTGCAGAGGACAAGGTTGAGAGGGACGCAGTGCCGGTGAAGCAACAGGCGACTGCAGCACCCGTTTCGGAAAACACAGCCCACCATGCAGCCGCCGAGCAGGTGATCGCCTACCCATCTCGCCTCATCTACTACCTAAACGAGGACTCTGAGAGTGCCTACCATGACCTGGACACGCGGGCCAGGAGCCAAACCACAGAGGGTCAGGTAGGCAAACACAGAGCCGAGTCAGATGATATTTTGTCACCATCAGCAGATCAACTCACCGCATGCTGCTTTATCAGCCCATCTCACAAGCTTGCAGTCCTGTTTTCCGAGCACATAAATAGCAGCCTAAAGTCAAGCTGTGTGGTGCTGAAGAAAGCTGCACCCTAGCAGAACCACCATCTGTCAGTCGTTCACCACATCTGTTTGCGTTGTCCAGTGGGGATTGGATAGCTAACTTATCTGCAGTTTTTTTTTTTTTCATGGTCAGAAATAGGACTGCAGTCCAGTTCTCTCCGTCAATGTATCAGCTAGGCTTACGGTATGCCGATGATCTTGAACTGCGTGCGCAAGTATGTTTTCAAAGCTGTAAAAGCAAAGTGTCATGTACAAAACTTGTTTCATTTCGGATGTCGACCCAGTGACACGAGCCATTGTATTCCGAAAGGGACAATGACTTGCTTCTTTGTTTTTTTAATTTTTTTTTAATGGTGAGGGAGAATTCTAAATGGGAATTTATTCCCGCTCGAAAGTATCCACACCGTTTGTTCTGTATGGCTCATTATTGCACTTCCAAGTATTTGAGAAAGGTCAAGCTATGTTTCAAACTCAAAGGGCTCTAATTTCTTGCCCAGCACCAGTCTAGCGCAAAGTGCACTCTAACTGTGCACATGGATGGCGTTTTCTTTCTTTCGGTGTTTTCATCGACGAGCAAAGGTAGAAAGGAGCGCGGAGTGTGTAAAAATACTAAAAACAACGCAGTCTTGAATTGTGGCGATTTAGTGTTAAACTGTCGCCAGTTCCATTTTTCAAATTAATTTTTTTTTTTTTTTTTTGCACATGGCTAAAACGGTGTCCGCGGGCACATTTGGGCATCTGGTATGACTGGCCCCTCCCCAACTACATAGGAACTTGAGCACCTTTGTTCACATCAGTGGATATGCCGCACAATTGTGAGTTTCTTCAGTATTATGGTGAGGCCCATTACAGTTAGCTAGCTATGCCTACGCCCAGAAAATAAATCCTCCCTGGGCGCCAAAACTAACAGAAGACCTCAATGTTGTTGTTTAAATTCCTAAGCAAGTTGGTAACATTGTGAATGAGCCTCCTGCCCTCCCGCTAGCTGAGGGGCCCCTGAGGCCCGTTAGCTTCCAAGCTAGCTCTTGGCTCGCCCCTCTTATCACGGCATGGAAAGCCCTGGGATGTACTTCACTCACCGGAGTCTTGTAGGTGTTTTTGCGACTCAAGTGTGTCAGGATGTGGCGGCATAAAAAAGTTTCTCGACGACATAGCATCCATTTTTCAATGGGGTGTGGTTGCGGACAATCAGCTGACATGTACACTAACTGACTGAGAGTGAAGAAAATTGCTTGAATTGTTTTTTTTAATTTGTTTTTGATTTTGAACCCGTATTTTATGTATTTGGTGATTTTTTTTTTTCTTTAATCGTTCAAATTTGGCATGGTTGTTCACAACACTTCTCTGTGGTGTGTCAGATTTAAAAGACATTTATTTTCACTTTACAAGGACTTTAAACTCAAGTACGTATAGTGATGTACAGGGAAACTTGCCTGTTGAGCACAACATTAAACATTTATTCATTGTAAAGGCAAATTTTTGAAAAACACTTGGCAGTCATGGTCATAAACGTGTGTTATATAAGTCAACGACTGCAATATGAATGTGTTAAATGATGAGGGCGTAATAAAAGTTGCACCTTGAATAAATTTATTTTACATGAACGTGATTTAAATGAATCTTTTCACTTGTGTTGTTAGCCACGAAAGCATTAAATCATGGTGACATGCAAGAAAATCAGCTAGCTCGTCGTTGGCTAACATTAGCAATTGACCCCATTGCACCTGCTCTTGCGCCTCACCCTGCTTACTGCTCATTCTGCTTTTGCTGAGCCAGGTGGCTCAACATCACATCGTGTCGAGCTACTAAGCCACTGAAATACTCCAATATCATTGGATACTCGATTAGGGCACACGGGAGTCTTTTTCTTTTAGTGTTTATTGGTGGTTGGTGGACATTTTAGAGTCTTCTGGCTCGACTTAATGCTTTGACGCCGGTTGAACTGAGCTCAAGTGAGATCTATGATGGTTGTAACTCATGCGACTTTTGAGGCTGATCGTTCACAGAAAATGTTGATTGAATTCCAAATCGAATGAACATTTTAGAGGTGACTATTTGAAACAGCGGAATTTAGAAATGACTTAATAGTTTTTTTCTCCCCCGACAGGCGATCCACCTTGCTCAGGTCAGCTTCCAACTAGAAGCTTTCAGCACCCGATTTGTTCTGGATCTCACCCTGAACAAGTAAGTCCTTTTTTTTTTTTATTCCACGTACATTTACCCTTCACCAACAATGTAATACAATACAATATATATCTTTCTTTAAATAGTTCTTTCAATAGTCTGAATTCATGCCGCACAACATTTTGCTTCCAAGCCGTGTTTGCACATCCCTGCTAACACACAGACAAACAAATACTGTACCTCAATGCCAGTAAAAGCAAAACAAAATCCTCGCCATTGTGGTTGTTAGTCATAACAAATTTTCAGACTGTGGTTAGCCCTTTGGGGTGAGCATGTCTCCCGTAACTGCATCAGCCCCTGAGGTTGGTTGGTTAGTCGCTGTGCCGTTGTCATACTGTATTTCTGTCCGCACCGCGGCGAAAGAGCTGAGCTACTGGTTATACTGAGTTGACCCCGGCGTACGAATGCATCGCTAGCTGTTTGACGAAGGAACATTTCCACAAAACGGGAAATCCGTGGAGTGCGAACCTCCTGAGCGATCCTAATTTGGATCGGCACCAAATTGCACACCACCACATATGCGCAGCCTGTGCACACCTGAATGATTCACGCATTCCGCGCTGAAAACTGAAATTAAACAGTGCCCCCCCCACACTTAATTTGGTGAAAATCCGCTTAGTCGTTTTTGCATAATCTTTCTAACAAAGGAACAAATCCTTAGCAGTGATACAAAACAATTAAAATGTCAGGCTGTGAAATGCGCATGGTGAGTAAAACTTTTATTTTGATGAATGGAGCAGCATTTGTCAGGGGTAATGGATGATATTTCTCCGAGGTAGACTACCCGCCAAACTGTAGAAAATTATTATATATATTTTTTTTAACATCTGGCAGGCTCCAGAGAAAGACAAAGTGTCCTGCAATGTTATTTGTGAAAGATCAGGTCTTTAATGAGCTTTCAATTGGCTCGATTGAAATTGAGCATGGAGACATTCTGCAGATCACTGTCGCGTTTGGAGACACGAGGCTCCGGACACCCGACGATATTGATTTCGTTCCTTCACTGAGTAGCCGGTCTACATATGTGAGAGCTTAATGTGCATGTGTACAAAGGATTTTGAAACGCTAATTGAATCCCTTGGCTCCTAATGTGATTTAAAGCTGGGTTCTATCATCAAGTATGGTAATTTCATACAGACTTCATGGTTGAGCGGCGTCAGATAGCAAGGCTGGCACACTCGACGGATTTGTAACCCGTTCCAAATCACAGAGGAAGTGGTGGTGGTTTATTTTAACACCAGCAAATAATTGCCATCCCACGAGGCAGGCGAAGTGTGCTTCTCTTGCAGCTGTGCCAATAACGGAGAGTTTTGCGGAAATGTTGCATTGTTGTTGACAACGGGGACACTGCTAAGGTGGGGGAAAAAAAAAAAAAATGTTCACACCTTTTGCAGGAGCATCCGTTTTGGATGCAGTGTTTCTGAATTCACACGTTTTTTAAATGATCGCTCTCCATTATAGAAAGAGACACGATCAGACATTATCGGTGACAGATTGTCGTCTGATAGGTGTGACATCTGCTAGCTTGCAGGATGTCAGGGACGACATTCATCTTGTACATTCAGACAGCGAAAGAACAGCCTGACCTTGATCTCCAAGATGTCTGCGTGTGGGTTATCGTTAAGATGCTCACGTCAGCTTTTTTTTTTTTGGCTTGCTTGCGCATGAGAGAAAGAGAAGTTTGAATTCTGCTCGGTGTTAATGCTGCGACAGTCTCCGCTTACCGCTGAATTCACCTGAGAGTGTCAACTGAAAGCATTTCCTAATAATTACATATTATCACAACGACTGTATTTTGGACAGCTCATTTAGCTCACGGGAGAGGGAAAAATAGTACAAACGCTTCTCGGTGCGATGCTGTGTGAGTACTGTACACAACAATGCAAATTGCGGCCGCTACGATAAACACATTGTTTGGGTACTATTGCACTTGGTAAAGTTCAATGGGCAAGCGCTGTTCGTAGTCGACTTTCTCGCTCATGGAGGATGATGTGAAACAATAAAGAATGCACGGATGGCACTATTTTGGTCACCATTACAAATACATCTACATTTAGTGTAATTGTGAGTTGTATGCTTAATTATCTGTTTTTTTTTTTTTTATATGTCTCCCAAATATATCTTTACATAAAACCGGTCCATGGTGTAATAAAGATTGGGCTGTGCTAAAAAAAATATCAATGATGTCATCAATTAAAAAAAAAAAAACTTTCAGTGCATTATAAGTGACGACAGAAACTCTGTAGTTGTCTAACCCTGAGTCCACCACACTGGCCGCAGCAATTTTTAGGCCGGTGTGACCACCCAGCATGCAAGCTCAGTTTATCTTTAATACTGACTCTTCTGAATTTATTTTCTTCGCATTTGCCCTAATTACCCGTTTGGTTAGACTTAAAGTACTTCATAATACTTGATGCTTACTTGGATTTATGACATGTCGCATCTATGTCTGGCAGCGCTGTTGACGGTGGTTTAGTGGTTTGCACATCTGCCTCACAGTTGAGGTTTTGGCTTCAAATTCAGGCTCACGTCCTCCTGTGTGGTGTTTGGATATTCTCCTTGTGCTTGTGTGGGTTTTCTCCACATATTCTGGCTTACTCTCACGCTCTGAAAACAAACAAGTATGTTAGGTACATTCAAGTTGGCAATTGTTAGTGATTTGTTCCTATTTATTTATTTATTTATTTATTTACAAACCTTAATAGTTTTTTAAAAATCGCTGATAGACATTCAATATGCTTTTTTTCACGGGAAATATCCAAAATATGAGTAGTTTTAAGTTGTAATTTCACCAATCACCACTAGATGGCAGACATGTCTTGTTTGCACATACACTGTGTCTTATAGTGCCCTATACTACGTGAGTCGACCTAATATATATATTTTTTTTGCAATTTGGAATGATATGGATGTCAAACAGTACCTCATTATATGAACATTTTGAGTGAGTTGATTTGAAATGTACAAAATAAATTCTTGCACTTAATGCTGGTTTCTTGTTCAGCAGTTTTGTGCTGTCCTTGAATGGCACGTATTTGTCACAGATGCACTCATTTTGTCCATATTTAAAATTGCATTTTTGTCATACACCGCCCCCCACCCCACCACCAGAAGCACTGATGAAAATTTGTGCACCCTCCAACATTCATCCCTGCTTCAAATAGTTGATCAGTGTGAATAGTTGTCATTGTCAGCTGGGATAGGCTACACCTCAGCCATTACCCCAACAAGGATAAGCGCGATAAAAATTGGATTTATGGATTATGAAAGTATTTTATCGCACTTGGTACCACCTCGAATGTACGGTATGTCACATTGCATCCCTGTCTTTTTATTTTATTTACGTATCATCTGAACATTTAGAAACAGTCAATGTCATTAGGACGCATTTGGAGATTTTTCTTTGTGTCGACAGCTGCTTGTGATAGTTTTTATAAAAGCAGAATCTCGATGAAGCTCTCTCATCCCATTGCAAGTGTACATCATGTTCTGGCTGGTATCAAACGGAGTGTATGTGGAAGAATGGGACACAATGTTCGAATAATTGAGGCATCTCCAGATTATTTCCATGTGATGAGGTGGGCATGACGATCAGGCGTGACAGTGCTCGGTGTCACTTCAGGTGTCCGAGTCGATTTCTGTCCGCACATCAGAATCTCCTGCGGCGTTTCTTTCTTCCCCGTTTGCCGCGGCTGCTGCAATGTGGCTCTCCTGTGCACGCCTCACGCGTGAGTTCAACAAAAGCACCCTTCAGGATGCTCACATTCCGGCGGCTCGCCTGTATGAGCGCTTCAATGGCGCCCGCCAACCCATGCGCACGCACGCACGCCATTACTCCTTGGCGTGGCCCACTCTCCGCTCCGTGCCTTGTGTGTCACGCTAAAAATAGCGCCTCGCTTAGGAGTCGCTCTCACGCCTTGAGCCTCCTCGCGTAATCGTGCGCTTCTTGCTGGCATGCTCCAGAGCATCACTCACAAATGTCACGGCGCCGCGAGTGTGTCACAGGACCAAATCTGCTCGGTAATCCGTTTGTTCCGCAACGCCGCTACCTTCTCTGGGAGGAGAGGAGGATTTTTTTTTTCTTCCATTTGTGAGGTGACTCAAGGGAGGAGGAAAAAAACTGCTTTGTTGCAGAAATTGCACTCTCACGGAAGTCAGCATACAGATTGAATGTATGTGCTGGTAATGTGCACGGACAGCGGGGTCTTTACAGGATGTTTTTGTTCAAGGTGAAGATGATACCCCACAACCATCCACCATGTTCCTTTGTAGGTGTCATGTTGAGCATTTTGGTATCCTCATCCATCCATCCAATTTCTGCACTGCTTATTGGGTTATTATTGGGTTGCACATGAGACGAAGCGTATCCCAGTTGACTTCAGGCAAAGGTGGACCACATCCTGGATTGGGTGCCAATTAATCTCAGGGCATTTATAGGGACAGATGACCATTCAAATTTACATTCAAATTATCACCTAGTAGAAATGAGACCTCAACTAGTGAGTTCATGTTAAAATGTTGTACCTCTAAATACTATACTCCAATCCAAACCTCTCTGAATATGTTAACAAAAAAAAACATCCATCCAATTTTTTTTCACCTCTTTTGCAGCACAGCAAATTGTGAAGGTATTTCTGGGGATGTGGCTAGTGAGTGTACCTTTGACTTTTTTAAACAGTGACTCAGTGGTTTTGAGTTGTTTGAAGGTCAACTAAAGCGGTGCTAACAGTGACTTCCACCCACACGAGTGAGCCACAAAAAACCCAATAAAGACAGTCTGCGTGCAATCCGACGCATCGTCACTTCCTTCCAACTTTTTTGTCTTCGCAGTGACCTGCTGTCTTCAGATTATGTCGAGATCCATTACGAGGGGGATAAGCCTGTCCCATCAAAGGTAACGGATGGATGGTTGGATGTGTTGAAGTGAATGGATGAATGGTTGGAAATTGCCGCGTCAATGACCGCTTCCAAGAACCAGTCCAATCCATATTTATTGAGAGAACATTTAAACAGGGTTGACCAAAGTGTTGTGCAATTCAATGCCAAAGGTGAAAAAGTGATTTAAAAAAAAATGACTGGGGGGGGCCGTTTGTTCTGCATTGTGGGAGGCACTACAGTAAGGGCTAACTAGCTAATTAGATCCAATTCAATATTCCGCCTTTACAAAGATAATCATGCTCACTTTTAGCTGACCCGAGAGGGGCATTACTTTAACAACGTGTTTGTTATCATGGTGGTAGTTTGCACCGCATCATCATGTTGTTTATACGCCTTGCATGTTGCGAAGTTAAGTCAGCAAAAATATTCAAAACACATCCGCACATGAGGCGGTGCAGTTCTGCACCACCGCAAACTCGGCTTGGGTTGAATGCACGGAACTCGAGTCACCCTCCATTGTGCACGGGTCACATAAATGATCTTTACCTTTCATATTTTTTCCCTCATCGTTGTCTCCTTCAAAGCTGAACGCTAATGTGTCTGTAATAGCAGAATGTGTAATAGAGCTCTTATGTCGGATTTTATTAGATTGTGCAAGTGGTCCAAATGTTGTGGCTAGTTGGTGTATACACCTCCGTATACATGAGACAAGTGAGCAAGTGAGGCAGGTGGTAGAATAAGGGCTGTTTGCAGCTGCTGATTCAGGCTGCATGGGGTGCGTGTACTGTAGCTGAATCAGCAGGCTTTCGACACCCCCACCCCCGACGTTCCCGCAGCCTCCTCTACTGGATCTCTGCTCACGTGACGAGGGAGGGGAAGCACTCTGCAGTGTCGGTGCAGTGTTAGATGGATGGGGAGGGAGAGAGGGAGAGAGAGAGAGAGAGAGAGAGAGAGAGAGAGAGAGAGAGAGAGAGAGAGAGTCGTCCACTCACCCCGTGCCTTGACAGCTGAGTCACAGATAACACAAAGACCTACTTTGCAATGTATTCACGATCCCTATTAAATACAGAGGGGCCGCACCATATACATCAGCGTTCGCAAGACACTCCATTTCAAGTTCGGAGACTTCCAACTCATGTTATTTCCAAAAAAAAAAAGAAAAAAAGAAAGGAAAAGCAAAATCAAGCAAATCCACACATATATGCTCTGATGCGCGTAGTAGTGTGACAACGGTGGCAAGTGGTCTATATTTACAATCCAAATTTCAATATTTGTTCCATGAAATAGTCCCAAGGTATTCACAGCAGTCTATTCTCTTCCTTTCATAGCCTTTCTCTTGGCTGCACTGCTTGTTCCATTTTATTTTATTTTTTTGTCCAACCAGAATTTAGCCTCAGTGTGCACCCATGTCAAACTAATACACCCAGAGCCTTAAGAATCAGTAGAGCTGGCCTCTATCCTTTAAATTATATGAGCTATGCGACTGTTTCTTGAAATAATCAGAATTCAACTTCATCCTCCTGGGCCGGAGGGCTGACCGTCAATGACGTCCGCATTTTCCCGCCTTCTGATTTGTTTGTTGGAGCAAAACGTGTTTCCAGCCACCCGCAACGAGCCAAACATCTGTCTGAAACTCCGCACATTCCAACTCTTAATAATCAGTAATCTCCGTGAATATGCTGTTTTTGATTTTGACTTTTGTGTGTTTTTCTGCTGTGACTGCATCTTTCTCCCTTAGGGCGGTGAGCACTGTTACTACCACGGGCAGGTGAGAGGCAACGGTGGCTCCCGTGTGGCCTTATCTACCTGCAACGGGCTGCAGTAAGTGAACAGAATTGTGTGCGCAGCGATGAGGGACTCATACGCGCATTTCTCGGCTCCTTTTCTAATATTGACTCAGTTATCGAGCTGTCTCTCTCTCTCTCCCTTTTCAGCGGGATGTTTGACGATGGAGCCCATGTGTATGTAATTCAGCCTCTCCAACAGACTCATTCAATCGTAAGTTAGCGGCTAAGTATGGATCTCATTTTTTTCCCCTTCGCTACAGGGTGTCCGGAAAGCCGCTGTACACTTTTACAAATTTTTCTTTCAGTTGTCATTCGGTCAGACGTGAGGCCATTAGCGTTGGACAGCTCAGCCTTTGTAGCTTTTTGTGAGCGTATTATTCCCTGGCCCGCGGATCGCCGACATTTGGAAGAGTGTTGCAAAACTGCTGCGTGGCATGAAACTTTTCGTTTTTGTTGCCGTCCCACCGCTTCAACGCAGAGTGCAATTTAGGCTATTCCCGGCAAGTTCTTGACAAGCCGTGCAGCACAAGGCCGTCGACTGCCACCGCTGATGACAACACCAAACTCCCCCTAGAGCAGGCGCGAAGGTGCGCCCTGGTTCCTGCGGATGATAAAAAAACGAGTGGTGCTATCACGACTGTTCACCTTTGATCCTTAATCCTCACCATATTCAAATGTGTTCTTTCGTGATTCTGTAGAAATACTTTTTTTCCCCCATAATCCCGATGAACCATATCATGCCTGCTGTATACAGTACTGTTAACGATGTAAAAATGAATACTGTGAAAATGGTCAACAACAAAGCTAGCGGTACCCTAAGGCCGCAACCCTGCCTCGACACTTTGCTTCATGTTTCGCACTCACAACGATAATGTTTTACTTTCTGATTTCATCACGGGAAAATACGTCTTGTCAGGCGTTATGTCCAATCAATACCACTCTAATGTCTCATGACCCATTTCGCATAACTTACACTTGAGCTGCCCGGGCGTCAACCAGTGAATGTACCATGTTTATCTAAGGATTCTAAAATGGATGTCAGCAATGATCATAAACATGTTTGACAGTTTCCTGGCCCAGGGTCAGTGGCCTTCCCTTTCTCTGTCGTCATTTAGTGAACAAATATAACATATTTGAGGATGCTACAAGATTAGAATGTGACTGTAGGAAAGGGTGGAGGGCAGAAGGGCATGGAATGTTGAGGTTGAGGAACAGAAGGTGAGGAATCAGGGGAGCACCAGGCCATCTCCCTGAACCGAACCCCGGGGCTTCCTGTGATAAAAAGAGAGGAAGCAGGAAACAAAAAAAGACGGCGATCGTCGGAGAAGTGACAGTCGCCAAGGTGACAGGGAATAGACACACCTCAAAAGGGGGACGCCACAGCTTCAGACCATGATTAATGCTGATCATTTAGTCTTTGAAAAATTCTCCAAAAATCCACTGTGTCTCTTCCCGCTGAATGTTTTAGCTTTGAGGAATACATCACCCAGCCCTTAACATTTCTCAACTCAACGGACAAAATGTCTGCTCTAAAACATGTCTAACGGAGTCTCGCTGTCATTGGTATGACACTAATTTGAAGTGATCATACTGTATCTTGCGTGATCAATTCCGAGGTTGTGTTCCTTTTTTCATATGCAAGATATATATATTTTTTCAAGTCGTGAAGGGTTTCCGCAATAAACACCTTCCATGGATCTTCCTCTCAGTGGCTGTTTGTGCTCTCTAACCCCTCAGGACACAGCTGGCAGGCCTCACCAGCTCCGAAGAACTGCCTTGTTTCAGTGGAAAAATGAGTCACAGCAACTGGGTAAAGATTTACACCGTCAAACATCATCCTCAAAAAAAAAAAAAAGTCCTTTCTTGAAGGGCCTCCACCCCATTCTGTCACGCATTTCTTCTCCATATTCTGTGGCTGCAATGTAGCTTACATACAAGCAGGGGCGCTAGTGAGCAAACGTCCAATGACCAAGCTGAAAAATACAAAAATAAGCACTTTTTTTTTTTTTTAAAGAGTACGCTACTTAACTTGTGTACCGAATGTTTTGGCCATACCTGCCCACCATGTGTGCTGACGCTGACCTTGTGCGTGTTGTTTACACTCGTAGCGGAGGAGGAGGAGGAGAAGCTCTTCTCGGAGCTGGATGAACTCTCCTGGCTGATGCGCCGGAAAAAGCGAGCCGTGAGTGTCTGATCTCATCTCTCTTGAAGAGACACCACAAACTTGCTTTCACCCGCCCGTCAATTGTTATGTAATGATGTCAAGCGTTGACATAGTTTTGCCTGGACTCCAAAGCATTTCACACAAGGGCTCTGCAGTAAAAGCGGGAAAAAGCCCACAGTTGACTTCTGATTAATCTGCTCCGTTTATGTGACAGATAAGTGTATTTGAGGAGATGAAATACTTGGAGATCATGATTGTCAGTGACCACAGTATGGTAAGTCCTTTTATCGCTACGTTTCTATCAACGAATCTGCAACTTTGACTTCTTATTCCTCTTGCCGTGTTTTCGATACGTTTCTATCAACGGATCTGCAACTTTGACTTCTTATTCCTCTTGCCGTGTCCCTGCAGTACAAACGACACAAAACCAAGCAGCACACCCGGAATTTTGCCAAGTCTGTGGTCAATCTGGTGGACGCTGTGAGTAAGATCTTCCCCCTTTTCGACCGGACCTGTTTTTTTTCGTGGTTGTGTTTGTTGCTCAGTCAGTTGGACCAAAATTTTAAGTCCAGAATGACTCACTCAAGTAACACTAAGGTGGAACCATTGGCTGAGTGAGCTTCTCACCAGAGTTCTCCCTTTAGTGTGATTCGTCTTCAAAATGATTTTATCAATATTAGAGTAGTCCCTCGTAGGAATCCCGTGCAAGCATTTTAACAGCTGTTATGGTTTGGCTTGATGAATTACTTTACGTTTCTGCTATGTGGTTTTGAAGGCCACTTAGAGTGTCACAGAAACTGAACATTGTCAACAAACTGCAATGGTTTGGCATTTTCCGACGGGGCTGAATCGGTGTTCCCCGGCCTTGACTGAGCCAAGGCACATCTTAAAAATGAAAAAAAATAAAATAAAATAAATGAATAGATAGTTCACATACGGAAAAATTGAAGTTGTCTCAATTTACTCACAGTTTTTCTTGCTAAGTGTCAGTGTGAAATCTGGGCCTGTTTATTTCTTCCTGGCACTGTACGTCGCTGACATAGAGAGATGAACACAGATGGATAGATTATTTCTATTAAGTAAATGATCATTTTCAGACCAGTGAATTGAAATTTGAGAATTCCCCATGACACCACCTGACGGTCTCTCACGGTACACTTGTGCAGTGATTCCCAACAGGCCGAGAGAGACCGTCCAGGGCCTCCAAGGAATTGACTCCGTTTCACCTGATTTGCTGCCATTCATAGAACAGAATAATGGCGTTTTGTTCAACTCAAGTAAACTGAGACGAGATCATAAACATTTCAGCAGTGATACTTTTTGACATTTTTAGTTTGGTGGATTGCTTTGAGATTTTAAATGTAAAGTGGGTGATCAATAAATGTTGGAAAACGCTGCACTGACAGTACAAAATAAATCAATTAAATTTTTTTTCCCCATTGTTGCATTAAAGGTATTATTATTATTATTATTATTATTATTATTATTATTATTATTATTATGGAAGCCGTTGATGGTGTAGTGCACTTGCCTGACCTCTGCGCAGGCAGCATGGGATCGGTTCCCACTCAGTGACGGGTGTGGATGTGGGCGTGAATGGTCGTTTGTCTTTTTATGTGCCCTGTGACTGACTGGTGACCAGTTCAGGGTGCAGTCTGCCTTCTACCCATAGTCAACTGGGACAGGCTCCAGCAATTCCTTGCTACCTTCTTCAGTAGTGTGGCTTGTTTGTAAATGATTCCTTTCTTTTGCAGTTGACACTCCCAACTTTTTGAAGATGTAGTGCCCCCTCTTGGTATGAATTGTAAACTACTTGATGAATCAATAGCTTGTTCCTTCGCCCTCTACCGTCACCATTTTTCTCCAGGGGAATGACTGACGGAGTACAGCTATAAAATGGATGGCCATGAAGTCACATCCATTATAGGCCATACATCCAAGTGTACATTGAACTTTGTTCAATACTCATCCCTATACTTCTTACATGTGCTACCGGAAGCCCATCTCAGGTGACATTTGGTGAGAAGCAAGGTAGACTGACCTGCGCCTGCGCCTGCTGCTTCTGGCAGGTCTTCAAAGAGCAGCTGCGAACTCGTGTGGTGCTGGTTGCTTTGGAGATCTGGACAGACAAAGATCAGATTCCGGTCAGCGTGAGGCCGTTGGAAATGCTACGTGATTTTTCCAAGTACCGCCAGCAGAGCATCAAGCACCACGCAGACGCAGTGCACCTCTTCTCGTAAGTTCCGAAAAGCACACTTTGACACCCGTGTGATAGTGCCCCTCCACATCTTTTTTTTTTTTTTTGTCTTACAGAAATGTGACCTTTCATTACCGCAGAAGTAGCGCAGCCTACTTTGGAGGCATGTGCTCTGTGAGCCGGGGGGTTGGCGTCAATGAGGTCAGATTCACTGTGCACTTAATGTCCTCTGTCACGCGGGTAGAGGATCACACGGTCAGTTGGTGTGACCGACCCTCTGCTGCTCTCACAGTACGGCAGCACCTGGTCCATGGCGGGCTCTTTAGCCCAGAGCCTGGCTCAGAATCTGGGCATCCAGTGGGACCCCGCATCCAAGAGAAGTATACATTTTATTTGATGTTTCTTACGTGAGCCAGAGAGGGCAGGCTCCAATGCTTACCCAAATCGTCAGACAAAATATCGGGATGGCAGCGGTTTGGTTAGGCAAACAGCGGTTTGAGGTTTTCAGATAGCCGCCTCGGAAACTGCACTTCCAGTTTCGCTATTTCCAGTCAAGAGGTTTGCGGTGTAACCGGAGTAATCTGGGGCTATCGTTGTTGTTGAAAAAAAAAAGCCATTTTTAGTGATTTAACTGCTGGAAGTACTCAGCAGATGTATTAAAAGCTCCATAAATCAACCTAATCCACATGGTTGCTGAATTTTGGTTTGTTTTTGACCTGTTCAGTTTCACAAAACCGTAAAGGTCATCTTCTGAAAAGTATACCATAAGTGCGTCTGTGAATTGTATTTGAAGCAAGACATGAAACAAGCTGCTGCCCTACACGACTGCTAGCTCAAAAATACTACACAAATCAAATATTTATAGTTTCCCAAATTATGAGATATCTGGCCATCACGTTAGGGACACACCTGCACCGTGTGAAGTGAACTAATACTGGATTAGGCAGCTGTTTCTTGCAGCTAACAAAAATATTAGGGACCGTCTCGCAGTTAGAATACTGTCCTCGAAAGTGCTTCCATAATAATAAGTAAATTATAAACATGCAATTTAGCAATTTTTTTCAAGAGCTTTTGTATTGGCTCTCATTGAATTGTGGCGAATATAACGAGTCAATGTCAATTTTGATGTAAAGTTTCAGAAGAGATTCTGTATGCAATTTCATTGTTGTTTTTGTCCTAAAGAGAGACGCTATCGTTAATCATTGTAATTTAGCTACAGGTACTGTATTTAAAAAAAAGAAGAAAAAAAAAAAGGTCAGAATAGAAAGTCCTGGAATATTTTATTCCTGTTTCTGTGCCCTTTCCTGTCTTGCAGAGGAATGCGGTTGCACTGACTCGTGGACCGGCTGCATCATGGAGGACACTGGGTAATGTCCAGCATTTATCCCATATTGGCTGGCGTCCCACCGGGCTGTAAAGTTGCAGGGAGTTAGAAATGAGACTGGGAATGTCTGGTACTTCAGATGAATTCACATAACTCAGCAAAAAAAATGTGGAGAAAAATGAAGGCAACTTGACTCTGGCTGCTGTTTGATCTATTGTGTCAAAGTATAAATTGAAGACACCAATAAATCAGCCATTTAATCACTCGTCACACGAAAGAACAAGAGAGTCGCGCGCACACACACACACACACACACACACACACACACACACACACACACACACACACACACACACACACACACACAGTTCTTCCAGATGTACTTGACAGATGTCTGCAACCTCCCCTCCACAGTGTCCAACACCCACGGAGATTCTCCAAATGCAGCATCTCAGACTACAAGGACTTCCTGTTGAAAGGTGGAGGCTCGTGTCTGTTTAATAGGCCCACAAAGGTTTGATGCTCACCACTCGGCACGGCTATGAACACATTGAAATCACGAAATGTCACTCTTGATGCTTGCACCGAACCTTTCATGCCCACTTGATGTATTTTGGCAGTTGTTGGAGCCCACCGAGTGCGGGAATGGATTTGTGGAAGTGGGAGAGGAGTGCGACTGCGGTGCGAGAGCTGTGAGTTTTGTCTACCCCCCCTCCCCCACCCTAGGATGTCACAAGTGTTTGCAGTCCATGTGTATGTTCAGTTAGCCGCAGCGCCGTTTCTATATTCAGGAGTGCTACAAGGGATGCTGCAAAAAGTGTTCGCTGGCCAACGGGGCGCACTGCAGCGACGGCCCCTGCTGCAATACCACGTGCCTGGTAACAGCTTGACGAAACGCACCGTGTTTCCACGAGCCATATTCAGGGACGCTTCTCCAGATATGCTCATACGCTTCCTTTTCGCTTGTTTTCTTGCCATTGCCAGTTCTTCCCGCGAGGTTACAGTTGCCGCTATGCTGTGAATGACTGCGATATCTCAGAGACCTGCTCCGGGGACTCTGGACAGGTGTTGTTATATCGCACTATGACGCCATTCAATCTGTTGTGTGAAAGCAGAGACGAAATTCACGGCGAAAGCAACTTTATTTATTTAATATACAGCGGTGCCTTGAGATACGAGCTGCCCGAATCATGAAATGTTCAAAATACAAGAAATCGATCAGTTAGTTTATTTATTTTTGCTTTGGCTTGGTAGCAGCTCATTTCATAATAAGCAGAGGTTTAGCAACAATTTATCAAAGAGGCAACGAGCTGTTTCGTGCTACTCTTGGTTGAAGTTTACTGTCAAGCTAAACATAAAACAAAGAGAACTACGCGTGTTTTCAAAACCACCACAAACCTTTTGGAAATTTGGGGAAAAAAAACGAATGCTAACAAACAATGCAAAATGCCATTGACATGCTAATGGTTAGCATTGATCGTAGCGGTTTTAGAAGCAATGGCTCGAACAGTGGAATCATTACTGAGTCACTTACAGTAGTAGTAATAGTAGAAGTACTATTCTTATTGGTTTTATGATGTGCAAAATGTTAAATTTACATTGACAACTGTTGACAAAGGTTTTTTTTTTTTTTTAGCTTCTCTGTGCGGCCTGGTATCACACCAGTAGTTGGCGGACTGCTGCTTTCGAACATTGAAAAGCAGCGATGGCGTAATGATGTCACGGCCCGGTAGCAGACAATCAAATTTCTCTGATAAATGGGCTCTATGTTTATATAGCACTTTTACTGCCTTTCGCCACTGAACACGTTCGGCAATGTCACCTCATTGACCCAGTGATTAATGGACTATGTTTTAATGGAAGGCAAGTTAACAGCTCGCGCACACTCTATGTGATGGAATGCAATTATGGCACGAGGTTATGGAGAGACTTGAGGGTGAGGGGGACAGTGAAGTCGATGAAGTACAGTGGTAATGGTGTGATGTCATCCCAAGGCTGCCCCAGAGCCACTTGTGCACTCGAGGGGGCAAACGTGTGCGCCACATTTGGTTTTTGAAATGGTTAGGTGGACTCTGTCGTTCATAAATGAAGTATGAAAAAAAGTGAAATATGTAAGATTTAATATTGTGTAAAATACTGTGGTACTTGAGATATGAGTGACCTGACTTGAGTTTTCTTTTTTTCCAAGACAAGAGCGGTCATTCGACTGATTTTTTTTTTTTTTTTGACTTTGACTTGTGTCTTCTTATTTAAGATTACAAAAACAAAAACTCAAAAGCAGTTCTGTACTTTGGCAAATATTCAACAATTCTTCAAATAAAAGGCTTCAACACGCACACACTTAGCTGGTCTAGCTTCTAGTCAGCTATCTTAACTCTAATTCAAACACATAATGGGAAAGGAAAAACATATAAAACCTTTTTAGTCACTGATATTTGAATACAGACAATCCAGCAGCGCATTTAAATATTTAACATAACAGTACTCACAGTCACACAATATATTCTTTATCCTCTGCCAGGAGACGAGCCGTCTATACTGTACAGACATATCTACTTGTCTGGCTTATACTGCCCCCAAGTGGCTAAGGCAGGCAGCAGCCACAGTTGCCATTCAACTGATGCGGTGTGACAAAAACAGTTTTATTACATTTATGTCTATTTAATTCTCATTACTGTATGCTTTAAAAAAATTATAACGTTATTTAACAAATTGAACTCGCACCTCAAGGCACCAACGGAATTTGCTGAAAAAAGTTAAATAATAATCCTAAATAATATGTTTTCATGATTAATCTTTCATCCATGAACCAACCAATTCTTTCTAATTAAATCCCATTTTATAAATAAAAAAAGGTCGAGTTAAATGCCACATTAATGTACACCGTAAATTGGATTTTTCATTGACACACTGTAGTAGTATTTTGTGGCATTTGGGCTCGGAAATCACTCCGCATTCACAATGTATTTTGAAACGATTTAATCTATCAATTCCATTTTGTAGTTGCCTTTCTTTTGTTTATTGCATATTTCAGACGCATGTTTTGCCTCTTCACAGTGCCCTCCCAACCTTCATAAACAAGACGGATACCTCTGCCAGGTGAACCAGGTAGGGATAAGAATCGAGACGATAACAGTCGAATAAGCAGCGCCGGCACCATGCGACGGATGCCTCTCATTCGCTTTCCCATCCGAAAGGGCCGCTGCTACAGTGGAGAGTGTAAGACCCGAGAGAACCAGTGCAGATACATCTGGGGGCCAAGTAAGAAGAATAGAGCGCACAAAAAGAAGTTGGGTTGCTGTTCAGTACACGGAGCCCCACCTACTCTGGCTCTTTTGTCTCATCAGAGGCTGGAGGCTCAGAGAAGTTCTGCTACGAGAAGTTAAACACCGAGGGTACCGAGAAGGGAAACTGCGGAAGGGATGGCGACAAATGGATCCAGTGCAGCAAGCAGTGAGTACCAAATGGGAAATGCTCCTCCAAAATAATTTCCACATATTGTGACTTGAAATTTGCAACCCTAGAGCTTCCAGGTGAAAAAGTACCTTCCAAAGCTTTTCAAATTTCCTGCAAGATATGATTTTTCAGACAAACAGGAGTGGTGAAATTGTTACTTTTTCGGTTGAGCTGCAGCTTGTCAGCATTGATTGAGCTTTTACTCGACTGGGATGTATATGGCAGTAGCATTCAGCTGCAACTTTGGAATGATCAGATTCGGTGATAGTTTTTCTCGCTGACCTCTTCTCAGCGTTTGTGTTTTTCCATTCTAGAGGGAGTGAGGCCATGCCAAGTTTGAAGTGAAAAAAAAAGCAATTATGCAGCAACTTGTGGTTATCACACTTCAATTTGCAAGAGAACTATTAGTCCGTCGTGACTGATGAGTCTCGCAAACAGCAGTCAAATTGGAGGTCTCGAGATGATTTAACTGAGAGGGTGGATGAATATTAATCAGAACTTCCTCTCTACTTCCACAGCGATGTCTTCTGTGGTTATCTCTTGTGCACCAACATCGGGCGCAACCCTCGCATTGGAACAATGAAAGGAGACATCACCCCCACCTCTTTTAACCATCAAGGCAGGCTGATAGACTGCAGGTAAACTCGTTGTTTCCGGTCAGATGAAATCTATCAAATCCACAGGACTGCAACAATGCCCGCTGTCCTTTTCTCGCAGCGGTGGACACGTTCTTTTGGACGATGAGACCGATTTAGGCTACGTGGATGACGGGAGTCCTTGCGGGCCGTCAATGATGTGCCTTGACCACAAGTGTCTGTCCATCCAGTCGCTCAACATTAGCACCTGCCCCACTGGACCAAATGGACAAGTGTGCTCTGCTCACGGGGTGAGTCCTGCTGCGTAACGACTCCCAAAGTAAACACAATGCTCTGAATGGCATGCTAATAGGAAACGTGATGTCATAACTGGGGTCATAAACGCACGACCCGCCAAGTGTATTATTTCCACAATGCAGCGGTGACTTCAGATACGAGTATCCACAGGACTGCAACAATGCCCGCTGTCCTTTTCTCGCAGCGGTGGACACGTTCTTTTGGACGATGAGACCGATTTAGGCTACGTGGATGACGGGAGTCCTTGCGGGCCGTCAATGATGTGCCTTGACCACAAGTGTCTGTCCATCCAGTCGCTCAACATTAGCACCTGCCCCACTGGACCAAATGGACAAGTGTGCTCTGCTCACGGGGTGAGTCCTGCTGCGTAACGACTCCCAAAGTAAACACAATGCTCTGAATGGCATGCTAATAGGAAACGTGATGTCATAACTGGGGTCATAAACGCCCGACCCGCCAAGTGTATTATTTCCACAATGCAGCGGTGACTTCAGATACGAGTGACCCGACTCGCAAATTTTTCGAGAATTTTAAAATGTATGTTACATTCTGGCGGCCCGGTAGTCCAGTGGTTAGCACGTCAACTTCACAGTGCAGAGGTGCAGGGTTCGATTCTAGCTCCGGTCTTCCTGTGCGGAGTTTGCATGTTCTCCCCATGCCTGCGTGGGTTTTCTGCGGGTACTCCAGTTTCCTCCGACATTCCAAAAACATGCCTGGCAGGCTGATTGAACACTCTAAATTGTCCCTAGTGGGTCAACTGGTTAACATGTCCGCCTCACAGTGCAGAGGTGCAGCGTTCGATTTAGGCTGCGGCCTTTCTCCGGGTGTTCCGGTTTCCTCCCACATTCCAAAAACATGCCTGCCAGGCTGATTGAACACTCTAAATTGTCCCGAGGTGTGAATGTGAGCACGAATGGTTGTTTGTCTCCGTGTGCTCTGCGATTGGCTGGCAACCACTTCAGGGTGTCCTCCACCTGCTGCCCGATGATGGCTGGGATAGGTTCCGGCACCCCCCCGCGACCCTTGTGGGGATAAAGCGACTCGGAAAATGGATGGATGGATGAATGGACATTCTATTGAACTACATGATATGCACATTTTTACGGGATAACAAAAATGCATCACAGCAAACCACATGGCTTTGATCTTTTCTCTTATTGGTCGGAAGAATGTCAACTGGAGGAATCCAGCCCAACGAAATGACCAAATGGTGCGGGTGGAGTGGGAAGGCACCCGCAAAAAAATTTCATTTGCCCCTTTTGTGTCACCGACTTGATTGTCCACATGCTGCTGTGCATTTGTATGCTTCGTACAGGTGTGCAACAACGAAGCCACATGCACCTGTGACACCACGTGGGCGGGGACAGACTGTAGTATGCCTGACCCTCCGAAAATCCCTGAGACCACTCCAACTCAAGGGCCCAAGGGTTAGTTTTCACCTCTTTCTTCCAAAACATGCCGCTTTATTTGCAACGCGTATTAGTATCGGTTTCTCCGCCGTGTTCCGACGTCATTGCTGAAGATCGCGATTCTCAGTTTGGTACGCGGGTTTCGAACAGCTGTTTGTGTTTAAACAGTGAGGTACAATTTTTATTTAGCTTTTATGCGCAATACATTTTAAGTTATTCTATTTAAGAACATTGTTTTTCGTTCTATTCAAGCGCAGTGCAAATGTATAATGTTTCAGCAGGTTACAATCATGTTAAACATTGGCACTATCGGTTGGAATCCTCGCATACCCCAAAAAATTTTATGGTGGACGTACACCCACCCGAGAATGCATTACGATCATTGATTAAAATGGTCAGACACATCCAAGTCTATGCTCACTGCGACCTTCCCTAAACTTTTTTCCAAAGGTCTTTGAGCCATGAATGATTCTATAAATACAGTAAAATGATAAGATGACAAAGCAGTTTAATTGGTGGAAAATATTATCTTTGTGGCTGACGAGTTCCTTCTGCACCAAAGCATTACAGCAATCCATTTGGACATATTGAAACACATCCAAGTGAAGTATTTTGACTCAATATTGATGTTAAAAAAAAAAAAAAAAAAATGGACATCCGAGGTTTCCACCCGACATCCTCTGCCCGCGTTTTGGGAACCTCAACCTCGTTTCCGATGATCTCTTCGGCCGACTCTACGACTGTATTTTCATTTTGATCGTGATGGTGGAACAAAGTTCTTTTTTCAGTGGTGTAAAAAAGTAAGAGATCGATCTCTGTGTTAAACGTGAACAGCTACTAGAAACCGTTTTTTATCCATAGAACAGGATTTGGATTTGTTTACTCGATTCGTTGCAGAAGAGGACTTTGACCACAGTAGTTTGAAGTGTTGGGGGTGTTTAGGTGGGGCCGGCGGGCGCCGCTTGAGCAGAAGCCTGCCGTTTGTCTTTTTTTGCCAGGGTGGTAACCATGCTCCTTTTCCCTCCACACAGTGAGCGTGGCCACTAACAGGCTGATAGGGGCAGTAGCAGGGACCATTCTGGCCCTGGGGGTGATTTTTGGAGGCACAGGGTGGGGAATAGAGTAAGCATCCTGAACCCTTTCACAGCTCTTCCTCTCATAGTGGTGCCTCAGTGTGCGGGCGGTTTCGTGAGCCGGCCTGAGCCCGTGTGTGCGTCCCGGTGGCTTTGTGTCTTCTTGTGTGTTGGTGATGACCATATAATCATGTCTAATTGTTTTCAGTGTCGTGTGATTGATTGATTGATTGATTGATTGATGGAACCCTCCCCTCCCGGTGGCCCTCTCCCTTCCCTCCCGCTTCCTGGTGTTCCCCATTTACAATGGCCTCTTCTCCGTCTGCCTCTTCTTCTTCTTCTTCCTCTTCTTCTTAGTCGTCATGTGGTTGCTCCTGTGATCCTCTCCTTTCTGGGGCATGTGGGGCATTTAGATGGACAACTGTCCGCAACCAGAAGAACTGTCCACTTACTGACCTGGCCTTTCTGTGTGTTGAACCCGAAAACTATTCTCTGCATTCACTGCAGGCCACACAGAGAGATAACACCCATCAATCTGTTGAGTCAAACATTTGATGGGTGCTCAACCTTCCCAAGCAGGCCACTGACCATCACACCGTGTAAACATTAGAATGGGGCCGGAGAGCATGCGAGACGTTGCAATCGTGTGGAATCGTCTAGAGTTCCGTGTTATTGCTACAGCCAGCTAGCATAGATATTCATGTGTTTTCCCCCCCACCCCACCCCATAACCCTTTGCAGGTCCTAGTGCCACCAATCTAATAATAGGCTCCATCGCCGGAGCGATCCTTGTGGCTGCCATAGTGCTGGGGGGGACTGGATGGGGTTTTAAGTAAGCAAACATGCCGCATGCCTCTCCTTGCTCGACCTCCAGCATCCCCCGCTGCTTTTAGACGCCAGGGTTTGAGTTCCTGCTGCAGAATATGCACACCCGACTACATATGACGCCGAGCATCCTTTCCTTTCCTGGAATGCTGCGTTTCGTGTTAACGTGTGACGAGAGCGCATAGAGGACGTTCAAGGACGGGCGAGCTCCGCACGCAGCCGGTCTGCGGATCTGTAGCAGAACCTCAAACTGAATCGGGCAGATCGGGCCGAGCTCGGTGCTTGACATGCATGCCAAGACGATAGTTTTAAAAAGCATCAGAGGTGTATTGTTGTTCTTTTAAGATAAATGGAGAGTAGTCAGCCAGTGCGTTAGCACGAATTAGTGTGGTGTGGGTGTGATTCGTCTTTCTCTTGATGTTTTTTTTTTTGACATATTTATAAAAACAAAACAATAAGTTAAAACAATAAAAACAAGCTTGAGACTGACAGTCTCAAGCTTTGTTGAAATCCGAGGAATAAAAATATGTTTTAAGGCAGGTTTTGGAATTTTAAATTTATTTATTATTTAATACAATAAATATAAGTATGTGTATATAAATATACAAATATACATATGCATGTATGTGTGTGTGCAATTTTCAACAATATACAGTATATATACAGTATATGTAAAATTGTATATGCAAAAAAAGAAAATAAATTAGTTTTTTAATAAATTACATATATTTTTAATATATGTACATACATTATTTTTTTTCCACCAAATATTTTTATTTCATTATTTGGAAAAAACATCAATGCACCAATTATTTCATGAAGTAAAGAAATAAAAATATTTAGAAAACAATAAATTAATTTTCAGTTCAACAATTTGAGAGGAAGAAACTGCTCCATTACTGCAAAAAATAGTATTCAACTCTGAATCTTGCACTTACAAGATAAAGAATAAAAACAAAGAATAAAGAGTAGAACAGAGATGCATATTTTAACTCCCCCTCCCCCCCAAAAAATAAAAATAAATAATTCTTCATCCACATTTACTGGAAGAAGTGTGGCAAGAGAAATGCAACAAAATAAAGACAATAGACTGTTGGCAATTAATTTATATTATATTTGATGGCGCAAATATTAGAATTTAAATATAAATTTAAACGTATGTCAGTGTTTCTGATGGTGTTCATCCCAGTTGAGAACCGTGATCCATAGCGCAGTATCGACATCGTGCCCTACCTTTTGGGGCTTCGGACAGGTTACTGTCCCTTTCCGCAATCATTTATAGCTTAATCCTGCCACTCTGTACTCATCACATTCTTGGCAGGGGTGAGAAAAAAAATATTTCTGCATGTTCAATCGGGTTCCGAAAAGGTCAAACTGTAGAGCAGGTAAGACCTGCAGCCCACCCCCTACGCGTCCCCCCCAAGCCCTTCCTTTTCACCGGCCGCCATTGCTGCCTGCTTCACGGTATACACACACGGCGCATTGCACTGCATGACACCGAGCACAGCGGTAGTTGGGCCTCAACGGGCCTTCTATTGGATCAGGTGCATGACACGATGAGTGCTAAGAGCCCCCACAACAAGCCACAGTACGGGGAGGTTGCGCATCACTCCTGTTGTCCTCTTTGTTGGTGTGCCTTTGTTGTGGTAGTTGCCGACACCGCTGCTCCTGCTTCTGTTGTTGATGTCTTTCCCCCCCACCCCACCTTCTGTAGATTAATGGGAATTTATTGTATGTCAGCTTCCCTTTCACGACTGGTAATAAGCAATCATCAACTGCCGTCTGCATGCACCCTCCAGTTGACTGCGAGGAGCCAACGGGGGTTTGTTTGCATTCACAAACCTTCAAAAGTTTTAGTGCATTTTGCCAACAAGTCGGAATTTGTGAAACACCAATTCAGCATCATAGAGTGCGGCTAAAAAAGGGTTTGTGAAAGTCAACGCCTCTCTGGGTCTTGTCGCAGTCGAGCTGCACCGGCCAACATGGAGCAGCCTTTCCCTGACTTCTGTCTCCATTTTGTATTTTGATCTGATTTTAGTCCTCTGCAGCTGTTTGGCAGATGTAATTTCACATTCTCTGATTTTTTTTTTAACCTATCCTCCGTTCTTCACTAAAAACTCACCTATTTGCTGTTTTTGAGGCCAGGCCAAAGCCATGCTTTGAAGTGATTTATTTAGTCAGGCCGTAGCCTTGTCTGATCGAAAAACAGTGCTTGCTTGTAGATGCTGCTGGAAGGTAGCAAAGCCCTGCTTTTCTATTGGACAGCGCTGCGGATTGTCTTCAGCTCCTCCCCTCGCTTCAACATACGAGGTATGTCAGAAAGGTTCCAGAACTGGTGTCACAAAAGCTACATTTCAGACTGACTTATAAAAAAATATATATCATAAGAGTTGGGCCTGGAAATTTTGTGGCTCCTTTACAATGACAACATGCCCACTTTCCAAAGCTCTCAGGGTGTCATTAAGAAATTTATCACGTTTTTGACCCTGGTCCTGAAAGTATTCTGACCCACCTCATAGTTCCTTAACACCAAGATGCCACAAGATGGCCCCAAAGCATCACTTTTATACAAGGATTTGGCCTCGGCACGAAAATGGGTGTTTTTAGCAAATAACAGAAGACAGGTTTCCCGATTTGTGAAAATGCAAAGGAACACAAGTTCAAAGTTATTCACTAATATTAGATAACCGAGACAGATGAGTGAGGCTGCACGTCCATGTTGCACCGGTCGCATCACAGATGTGAAGTTGGTGAATGTTAACACGTGTTTCTTGTCTCCTTGCAAGAAATGTGAAGAAGCGGCGATACGACCCCAACGCCACAGCCATTTAACGCTGAAGGGCGGACGCCAATCGCAGACGGACTCCTCCAAGGCTTCCTTAGTCGGCCAACCAGACAGCTGGACTGCACTTATTGCTGCTGACTTTTGGCATTAGATTTACTTGAATATTACATAATATACTTAAAAATAAAACAGATGGTGGACATTGGAACCAATTCCATCGTAGTGACATTAGACGCGTGCAACCTTTTAGCCTTTTCCACACCACTCATCACACGCAAGCCTGATCTCAAGATTGACAGAGCTCCTCGACCGCCCTCCGTTTTCAAGTGCCGGTGCGCAGGTGCTCGGACACCTGGCATGAGTCTCCGCGCGTCCGGCGCTGCTTGCTGGCCCTCTGGCATGAAGAGCACCTCTCCACGGGCTCTGCATGGCTACGTAAGCTGTGAATATTCAGCCAAAACACATCCTTCCAAAGAGAAAGGAAAGCAAAATGCGGGGAGAGAAAGCCTCATTCAAACGGAGACGAACATGACAGCAGACTGCATGTGAGCTCATCCAGTGAATGGTGTCAAAAATTCCACATAAGTGCAGTATTTCAGCTTTGGAATTATTTTCCCACTGAGTTTTTTTGTTTGTTTTTTTACATTAGCATGTTTTATAGCAGGCTTTTGAAACACTAATAGGGAGAACTTGGGGCCAAAAACGTAACCTCCCGAGCCTCGCCGTTTGGCGTCCAAGAGAAGCATGTCCGAGATCAAGTGTGGTCCCGTCGCAGTGTTGACGTTGAAGGAAAAGCCAAAGAAGCAATCACCATTGAACATATGGATGTTGCACACGGAGCACTTTGCCCTCTGTCGTGTCCAGCCAGGGCTCACCCATCCACCGCACCCATCCACCACATCTGGCTTAGCCTTTTACTCTCATAGACTCTCAGTAGGAATCAAGTCGACAGGAAACGCTGCATGCAATCACTGTATAGTGGGCTTATAATAATTCTATATGGGAGTTCCCCAGGATCTCTAAGAAAATACGCTTCAAAAAGATAAGGTGCATGTCAACAACGAAACATTTAACTTTTATTTACTATGCAAAGGAGAGATATTGCACAAAAATGGGGGAGCGACGTGGAATTTGAAAAACCTTCCGCTAATCATCATTTTCTCAATTTGGCCGCTCTCTCATCTTGTTTCATTTTGCTTCAAAAGAGCAAAAACAGCGGATTCATATTTACTATGACGAATAATCAGAAGAGAGCACTCCCGTCTGTGTGTGTGTGTGTGTGTGTGTGTGTGTGTGTGTGTGTGTGTGTGTGTGTGTGTGTGTGTGTGTGTCACATC